TGGAAGGAGCAGGTGGGCGGGTGGGAGGTGTGATTAGGAATTGGATTCTGGAGATGGCACATTCGAGAAGCTTATTAGATGTCTAGTCGGAGATGTTAAACAGGCAGCTGGAGTTCAGAGGAATCATGCAGGTTGGAGAGAGCTCCACGTGGGGTTCCTCAGTGTATATGTTATTTAAAGACATCAGACTCGAGGGGAACCCCAAGGGAGTAAGAGTGGATGGGGAGGAGAAGGGGTCTGAGCCTGGAGCCCCAGGCTACTCAGATGATCAAAGCACAGGTGACAAGGAGGAATCAGCAGAGACTGGGAAGGCGTGACCAGTAGGGTGGGAGGACCACAACCGTGATGCTCTGTAAGGCAAGGGGGATGTTTCAAAGACGGGAGGTGACTGCCTCTATCAAATACTGCTCTTGGTTGATTTTTGAGGCCTGAGTCCTCGGTGACCTTGACAGGCAAGTTTCGGTGGAGCAGAGAGAATGGAAAGACAAGAATTAGAGACAAGTGTAGACAACTCTAGACGTTTTTCTGCAAAAGGAAGAAAGAAAGTAGGTGGGAGCCAAAAGTGCGGTTTGAGGGTTTTCTTTTTAAATGATGGGGGACTAGTGTCACATGTTTGAACGCCGATGGGAATGATCCAGTAGAGAGGGAAGTGTGATGACACAGGAGAGGGGGAAGAGGATCACGTCCTTGAATGGGTCAGAGGGCATGAGTGCAGGGGTGGCCTTGGGTCGGGGCGCAAGCAGAGCACCTTTGTAACAGGAGGGCGGGCGGGTGTGGTGCCGGTGCTGGTGGGCTTGCAGGGGGTGGGGTCTCTTCTGATTGCTTCTGTTCTAAGAGAAAGAGGAAGCAGGGCCACTGGCCCAGAGTGACGACAGGGAGGAGGTGTTAGAGGGCTGAGAGGAAAGGAGAAGGTGTGGGATGCTCGTGTCCGGCGGGGGGAGAGCAGAGGACCAGGGAGTTGAGATGGAGTGGTTGACAGCAATGGACCCACTTGAGGCTGTGACATGAATTTGGAGTGAGACCGGCCTCTGGTTTGCTATTGTTCAGCCACATTGGATGTGATGGGGAAGAGCTGGGTTTAAACCTAGGTTTGGTTGGCCAGAAATACAATGGAGCAAGAGGGCCAAGGGAATTTAGAAGTGGGGAACGGCAAAGAGGCCAAATATGAACTAGCTAGGATGTAAATTATGATTCTGCTGCATGTATCATTTCTGTCAAGAATGAGGACGATTAGAAGAGGACTTACCTGCAGGATGCAGGGAGAAAAGAGGGACTGAAATCACTGAGCAGCCGGCTAGCTGGGGTTACCAGGGGTTAGGAAAGTCACCAGCCCTGCTCCTCACCAGTGTGTCCGCTTAAGGAGAACCAGCCATAGAAATCACCTGGAACTTGGAGGGAGGAGGAAATTACAGCTGAGAGTTCTCGGGCAGAGTTGAGTGTGGTAAGACTTAAGTCCTGTTTGGTGGTCAATTGCTAGTTCTTTAAAAAAAAAAATACAAAAAAATCTTAACTCTAATTTCCTTAAAATAAATACTTGAGATTTCTGCTTTTGTTCTTCTGTTAGAGGTTATATGCTTGTATTTTATCATCTGTTCTTTTTTATTTTAACACCTTTTTTTTGGCGATAATCCACAAAAATACAAGCCCCTATTTAAAGTATACAGTTCAGTGGCATTTAGTTTATCAACAGAGTTGTGCAACCATCATCCATCATCAACTTTTTATATTCATCATTCCAAAAAGAAATCCTGTACCCCAACAGCAGTTGTCCCCCATTTCCTCCCAACCACTAATCTATTTTTTGTCTCTATGGGTTTGCTTATTCTGGACATTTCATATAAATGAAATCATGCAATGTGATCTTTTGTGACCACACATGAACTTCTTTCATTTAGCATAATGTTTCCAAGGTTCATCCAAGTTGTAACATGTATCAGTTCTTCGCTGCTTTTTATTATCAAATAATGTGCCATGATGTGGGTACGTCACATTTTCTTTATCCATTGATGGACATTTGGATTGTTTCTACTTTGGGGCTATTATGAATAATGCTGCTATGAACATTCATGTACAAGTTTTTGTGAGGACCTAAGTTTTCGTTTCTCTTGGATATATAATGAGGTGTAGAATTCCTGGGTCATATGGTTACTCTCTGTTTAATCTTTTGAGGAACTGCCAGGCTATTCTCCAAAGTGACCGCAACATGTTACATTTCCACCAGAAGTAGATGAGGGTCTCAGTTTCTCCACATCTTTACCAACATTTGTTATTATCTGACTTTTTGGTTATAGCCATCCTAGTGGTGTGAGATGTTCTCTCATTGTGGTTTTGATTTGCATTTCCTTGATGGCTAATGATGTTAAGCATCTTTTCATGTGCTTATTGGCCATTTGTGTATCTTCCTTCAAGGAATGTCTGTTTTAATCCATGGCTCATTTTTATTGCGTTATTCATCTTTTTATTATTGAATTGTGTGAGTTCTCTATATATTCTGGTTACAAATCCCTTATCAGAGACACATGGGCAAATATTTTCTCCTGTTCAGTGAATTACCTTTTCATTTCCTTGGTGGTGTGTTTTGAAGTATCCTCCTATTGTTCTTTATTTTTAAAATCTTTCATTTTAAAAATTATGTAAGGAATACATGCATACGATGAAAAATAAGAAAACTTTGAGTGATACACAAGAATAAAAGGAATAAACAAAACATCTGTAATCTTATCATTCACAGGTAATTGCTGTGAACATTTGGGGTTTGATCCTTTAATTAAAAAGAATTCTCATTATTCAGTTTTTAACCTGTTGTAAATCTCATCCATTGTGAATAACTTTCCATGTCAGTAAACATTTCTACAACATCATTTTTTTTTTATGTTGTACAACATTTAATCACATGGATGTACAGTTCACCCCAAAAGTTCCTTATTGTCAGATGCTTAAGTTGTTTTTCCCTGTTATAAATGTAGTTAAATCTCTTTGCATATCTATAAATACTTTCTTTGAATAGATTTCTAGAATGGGAGCGATGGGTCAAAATGTAGGCACATTTTTGGGACTGTAGAAACATGCAGCCAGATTTCCTTCTGGAAAGATTGTGGCCAGCTACGCTCCTGCTGGCAGTCTGTGAGAGAGCCAGCCCTTGGCCAGAAGCTCACCTGGTCCACACAAAAAAGCAGTACTATTGTCGGCAGCGCCGTGCTGGGCACCGTCCTAAGCACTTTATGCATGCGACTCATTTATTCCTCACGATCACTCTGTCAAATTGGTACTAGCGTTTTTCCATTTTACAGACAAGATAATTGAGGCACAGAGAAGTTAAGTTTTGCCCAAGGTCACACAGTTAGGAGTGGCAGGATTTGAACCCTGAGGCAGACTCCCTTCTGGGAGAAAGCCTGGTACTGTTAAGTACAATGCTGGCTATTGCTTGAAGATAGTCTTTACAATGCTAAGAAAGTTTCCTTTTATTCTTAACTCATGAGAGCTTCATTTAGAAATAAGTAAAAATTTTATAACAATTTTATAACCCCTCACACTCCCTTCTTTTTTGCCTATATAGATCAGGGGTTGATAAGCTTCTTCTTAAATGGCCAGATAGTAAATACTTTAGGTTTGGGGTACATAAGGTCTCTGTCACAACTACTCAGCTCTGCTGTTGTAGTTAAGAGGCAGCCACAGACAATAGGTAAATTACAAAACCAGGTGGCTGGCTACCGGGCCATAGTTTGCAAATTTCTGTTATAGATGATTATTTGGGTTTTCTCTCCTTGCTTATTGATACTGAGCCACTCCTGCATTCTGGAATAATCCAGTCTGACCATGCAAAATCTACTGCTGCAATCTATTTGCTAGTATTTTATTTAGGACCTTTATATCTCTGTTCAGGAATAGGATTGATGTGTGTGTGTGTGTGTGTGTGTGTGTGTGTGTGTGTGTGTCCCTTGGTCAGGCTTCACAAAATAAAAGGGAGAAACTTCATTTTTTTTCTATGCTGTGGAGCAAAGAATGATCTATTCTTTGAGAGACTGATAGAACCTGCCTCCAAAGAAACCATCTTGGCCTGATGTCATTTTTGGAGGTAGTTCTTTGAGATCTCTTCCACTTTCAGGAAGTGATCTCTTCATGTTTTCTATTACTTTTGAATTAATTTTGGCAATTTATATACATTTTTAGAAAGCTACCTACTTCATCTAGATTTTCCAGGGTTTTTCCATTGATTTGGGTGTAGCAAATCTCTTAATATTTTTATTCTCTCCATGATATAGTTTTTTTTTTTTTGGCGGTACGCGAGCCTCTCACTGTTGTGGCCTCTCCGGTTGAGGAGCACAGGCTCCGGACACGCAGGCTCAGCGGCCATGGCTCACGGGCCCAGCCGCTCCGCGGCATGTGGGATCTTCCCGGACCGGGGCACGAACCCGTGTCCCCTGCATCGGCAGGAGGACTCTTCAACCACTGCGCCACCAGGGAAGCCCCATAATATCTTTTTATTTGATCTTTCTTATTCCTAATGGTGTACCTACTTTTTAACATTAGATTTGGTAAATAATCTAATGTTTTTTTTTTGGTCTTTTGAAAGTTTGCTCTGGAATTGAATTATCAGTTGTAATATTCTCCATAATTCTACTCATCATTTTCAAATTATCTTCCTACTTTTCTCTAATTTCTTGAGTTATCAGGTTATTTATTTTCATTCTTTTTGTATAAAAGCAAGCATATTTAAGACTAAATTTTCTTTTGAGTACAGACTTGGCTACCAAGTTTTAAGGCATAGCCCTCTTACTCTTGGTATTTTCTAAGGATCTGTGATTTTAGGTTTGGTTTTTCCCTTGACTCAGAAGGGTTTTAAGAGTACATCTTTAAATTTCTAAAAGGTTGGGATTTTTGATTTTTGAGTTTCTCATTAGTTTCTAGTTTTATTATTGAGGTAAGAGAGTGTGACTGGTAATGGGTTTATTCCTTGGACTTTATTGACATTGGCTACGTGGCTTTTAATTTTTTCTAAGTGCTCCAATGGTGCTGGAAAAGAAGGTGTAAGTTCTGTTTTTAGATTACGTGATGTTTGTGTATTTAAATGACACTGTTAATCATATTACTCAGAGTCTCTGTCTCCATATTCTTTCTTAAAAAAAATTTACTTGGTTTTTCAAGACTGAGGGAAATGTAATGACTTTCCCACAGCTATCGTGTTCCTGTCATTTCCTTGTACAAAACACACTGATTGTTGCCTTTTTATGCCTGACTCTGAGCCTGAGTCATAAACTCAGATCTTTAAGTATCTGAGCTGGGGAAGAAAAGAAAGACTTAAGAGGAATCAAACAGCTAACTTGAATTCCATTCTAACCATTCCTACTTCTGTGTACCTATTGGCCTGTGTGTTAGCGTGTGTACTTTGGGGGGATATATGTGTGTTTCAGCATATACATCTCCTTGGGCATGATTGTGTAAATATGTTCTTTTGTGTGTCCGTGATTGGGTGAGTTTATGTGTGTCTGTGTATGTTTATTCATCCGTGGCATCTTTTTCTTCAAACTGAACTTAAAACATCATGGGCGGTGTCTGCCTTGCTGGCTGTTTGAAGAGTCATTACAACTCAGAAAGCTCTGCTACCCTGTATCTTAACCCATCTGAACCTCTTTTCCCCTTTTGGCTGCAGAAGATCCTTCTGGTAAGTTGGTCAGACAGAGACTCTCTGTAGACTCAGCCTTACTCTGGCACCCACTTGGTGCTCTGTCTAGGCACCATATTCTGGCCACACACATGGTGTTAGGGCTGTACTTCCAGGATGGGTGGAGACTCTGAGAACCTCAGTCCACGCTCTCCCCATTGTACCTGTTCAAGTTCCCTTGGTCTGCCTGCAGCATGTGCTAACCCTTAATAAGGTAGAGCAGCATGTCCTAACCCTTAATAAGGTGGAGCTTGACGGACTGGGCATTGGTCTAAAGGGAGCACCAGCATTTCCAGAAACTCATGATGGGGTTCAGTTCATTTTATGGAATCAGAGCAAGCTCCTGGGAGATCCCGTAGTTGACCGCCTCAAACAGAGGAGGAAAGCGGACCCCAGAATGGGCTCTCCCGACACCTTGTCCTGGGCCCTTCCCATGGAACCGGGTGAGCTTTACCGGCAGCACAGACCCAGTGCCTGGGCCTGCGTGGGTTTTGGGGGAGACCAGGGAGAGTGATAATCCCACCTTCAGAGAGCTTGCTGACTCCCTGAGTGGCCAGACACCTGCACAGGACACAGCTGAAGTTGCATTCTAGACACAAGAGCCAAGAGGGCCTTGTCCAGGAAGAGTTAAACGGCGGGGAGACCAGTGTGTACCCCAACAGGCCCATCCACCTTTGCCCACAGATATGAATAAGCGAAGGAAGGAAGGGGCAGAGAGTGTGTTGTCACAAACCTCCTTTCTCCTCACCTAATTTCCCCCATTGAGCATAGTGTCTTTTGAATAATGGGCACTTAGTATTCGTTGAATTTCAGGGACTCTGCCTTGATTTGACCTTGCAGGAGACTAAGTTCTGATTTTGGAAGCTTTTTTTTGGCTGTGGTCTGGCGGGGATCAGGATAGCCCTTTGGGGTCTGAGTTTTCCTGGGTCTACTGTATTTTATTAATAAATAACACTTTATTGACATTTCCCCCCAAAGAGTTACCCTATGTATCCTCTGATTTTAGCTTCAGTATGCCCCTGGAATGCAGGGGGACTGTGATGATTATGCCCATTTCACAGAAAGGAAAAGGGAAGCCCCAAGAGCTTAACAGAATCACACAGTGCAGGTAGGCAGGGCCAGGGCGAGAGCCTCTGCCTCTCCACACCAAGCAGGTGTGAAGACCTTTCTCCTGACTGCACAGTTGGCCCCTGGAGAGGTAGAGAGTTCCAGCTCGCTGCTCCCCCGAACTCACACCAGCAGGAGAGATTTGCAGTCCAGGCCAGCCCATCAGCCTTGCTTGGTGTTGGTCCAGAAGAAACTTGCTTGGCAAATTCTGTTTCTGAAACAGTCTCTTTTTTTCTACCCACTCAGGAGGAGGAGTTCATTGATTGGTGGAGCAAATTCTTTGCCTCGATAGGGGAGAGGGAAAAGTGCGGGTCCTACCTGGAGAAGGACTTCGACACTCTAAAGGTGAGCCCTCCTCACAATGTCCTCTTCAGTCTAGCAGTCCCTGGGCACGTGCACTGGGCAGCGGGAGATGCAACTGAAAGAGAATATATGTATACCTATATGTATATGCATATATATATAAGGGTGAAATGATACCTGGGATCTGTTTTAAAATGCTCAAGAAAAGTAAGGATGAATTATTTAGATGATGTGGGTCACCCTCTGATAGATGTTCATAATATTAAAGTTGATTGAAATTGCAAAATATTGAAAATTGTTAAAGCTTGGAGATGGGTACTTAGGGATTTGTTATACCATTCTGTCTCTCTTAAAGTTATTTGAACTTTTCTATTATAAAAATTTTCCATTAAAATAAAAAGGAGAGTCAATGTGAGAATGTACCTCTGATTCCCCCACCTCTGCAACTGGGATAGAAATTACCTAGCACATATAAAAATATGGTAAACTCTGTTTCTGTGGAAAAAAACCCCAGAGCCCGAAAAACAACACAAAACCAGGGATGAGTCAGCCAAATTCTGGTATTTTGAGGAAATTCCACAAATACAGTTATACTTTTTAAAAGCAGTCTACTTTTAAAAAAGATAACCAGAGGTGACTCAAAATTACTCCCTGAAGGAGTTACCTAGTGTCATGGAGAGCGTTACCAGGTAAAATTCAGGATGCTCAGTTACACTGGACTTCAGATATATAATGAATAATATTTTAGTATAAATTTGCTTTAAATATTGCACAGAACGTACTTATCTAACAACTGTTTGTTGTTTATCCAAAATTCAAATTTAACTGGGTGTCCTGTATTTTCACTTGCTAAACCTGGCAGCCCTACCTAGAGAGCAAGAGGGGGCCAAGGCTGTCAGACACGCAAGAAAAGCCCAAGGAGCTCCCTGACAGAGACTAGATGAAGGGGGCTTGAGGCTTATTGGAGTGGTGGGTGACCAGTATGGAAGGTGATCTCACAAGGTGGCCAGAGCTGCCTCTGGTGCGTTGGACGCCCCCATGTCATTGTACCTGGAGACCTGGAGGGGCAGAGATGAGGCCTCAGGCAGCAGCAGTCAGAAGGCTCAGGCCTCCCCAGGCAGCAAGTTCTTTGTTGACTTGGTAGGTGGGTGTGTGAGGCTGGGCAAAGAGACAGAACTATTTGCGTACCAGGAAGAAGGTCCGACACGTTAAGTCTGGCATGTGGTACTGTGGCCTTGCCAAAAAATGAGAAAAGCCAAGTAAGAATGAGGACTCCTGCCAGGGTGGCCCATGGCCGTGGCACCCTTGCCACTCCCTCAGATGCCGGATGCTGAACTGGCACCCAGCCCACCAGCTTGACCTCTCTGAGATCTGTGACAGTTTCCCAGTGAAAATGGGCTGTCTAAAAACAAAATGCATTCAACCTGTTTCTGGGGGGAAAAGCAGATCTGGAAGAAATGCTGGTTCTTTAGGGATCAGTAACCACCACCACCAACATGGGTCTTTGAAAAATAGCTTGTAGTATTATGGAGAGAATGGAGTACACAATGGGTGGGGGGAAAAAAACCCATATTTTGGAAATTGCTATCATAGGGAAAAAAAGACAACTCATAGTCACAATAGTGAAAGATAGAAAACAAAGATACAGCAAGAAAGCACAGAAAAGAAGAAATCATAGAAAAACACAATAGAAAAAGAATATTAATTTTCCTAATAAATAAAACTGGGTTACAGTCTTTTACTAAGTGATAAGGACTCAGACTTCATCAAAAGTCAAAATTCATTATAACGTCTTTAAAGGACACATCTAAGACAATACAACTTAGAATGGCTAAAATAGTAAATATTTTGGCAAACAAAATAAAGTAAGTGCGAACAAAAGAGAAACAGGTAGAAACTAAAGTAAAAAGCAAAGGAAACAAAATGGAGTGTTTTGTATAAATAAAAGATATACATCTCAGTGCAAAAACTCTCAAACATTACTGTTTGGAACAATAAAGCTTAGAAATCCTTAAAGCAAAAATGGATAAGAATATATAAAGTACTACCTCACACAAATAAAGGCATGAAATTACAGAAATTAAAATTGCAGTGGTGATTTTAATGCACCTCTTTCCTAGACAGATGAAACAGGCAACCAATAAATAAGGAAATAAAAGATCTGAATAACGAGGTAAATATTTTCTAAGCTACATCAAGAGTAGCTTTAAAATAGAGGATAAAAATAATTTAAAAATGGAAAATGCATTTTTCCTAATGCTCAGAGAACACTTACAAAATTTGATCACATATTAGGTTAGTAATAGGTTACCAAAAGCAGAAATCATACAAGACAGATTTAAATGCAATAAAATGAGAAATTAATAACAAAAGTTTAAACAAAAAGACCAACCACTTGGAAATTTAAAAAGTATTTTATTGGGACTTCCAGTATGAACATGGCTGCATAAGTCAGCATTTTTCACTTTTTCTCTTTGGAAATCATTCAAACCCACGAACTTCATTTTCAGTAAAAGTTGGAAACAAATAAAACCCGCAGACTCCAAAATACATGTAAGGGCTGTCCAAAGGCAACTGAGATTGGGTAGAAGCCACTCGGCAGTAAATGAAGAGAAGATGCATGAAAATGATGAAAGGTCATAGTGGTAGCCGATCTCAGAAAACCCCATACTTCCTAATAAAAGAATGTTGATAATTATTTAAGACAGGCTATGGATTCATGGGGAGTTATTATCTATTCTCTTTACTTTTGTGTGTGCTTGAAAATTTTCATTACAGATAGTTAAAAATATAATTCCCGAAATTGAAGTTTCACTGTAAAATATAAAAATATATCCTTTGTTCACAACAATGGACATGGGAACTTTGGAGACAGGTTCAGTCTGGTGACAACAGCTTCTTAGACCTGATTTGGTTCAGAGAAAACAGAGAAGGTGGAGCTACACAAGAATCACACAGATGAACCATATTTGTAGGGAACAGCCTGCCTCTGTTATGGGAACAAAGGAAATAACTGGTCTAGGAAAATCTAACACATTTAGTGACAAGTAATAACAAAAAAAATTAGCACAGTATTAATTTAAAAATACTATGAAAAAAAGAAGAGAAAATATATAGCAAGACTTAACGAAAAGAAGAGGATATATACCCACCAGAAAAATTTCTCCAAGGAACAGATGAGATGAAAGATTTTGCTGTTAACTTTTTAGAAATAGGGTGGTCAGAATGCAAGCAGAAATAAAAGAACGAAGGGCTGGTGAGATGAGAAGATGTGAAATATGAGCTAGTAAGATTCAGGAAAGAAGGAGAAGAAAACATGAAATTGGAAGGAGCACAGGACAGAATGGCCACATTGGAAAACACAGAAAGGGGCATAGAGGACAGAATGAAATGGAAATAAAGAAAGACTTATAAAAGAATAAAGAGAAAATGACAAACATAGTAGTCAGGGAAAGGAGATCCAACATTTGCATAATTGGAGTCCGCAAGGAGGACAACCCAAACAAGGAACTAAAACAAACAGCTGATAGTTTAATAAAACTTCACTGAAATGAAAGAATACTTGAGTACGCATATTAGAAGGTCTGCTGTGTGTCAGGAAAAATTGACCCAGATTGGTCAACCCAGGGACATATTCTAGTGTAGTTATTGGACATTAGAGATAAAGAAAAAATTCTCTGAGTAGTCATACATTCTCCCCCCACAAAAATTTAAATAATTTAAAAAAGGAAAGAAATCAAAGTGACTTCACTTTCTCTACAACATTTAACGCCCAAAGATGATAAAGCACCATGTGTAAGATCATCAGGGAAAGAAAGGGTGACCCAAGGATTTGACGTTCGGCCAAGCTGCCCTTCAAGCATAAAGGCTACAGACACACAGGTGTTCACGTTCAGGAGACAGGTAGTATGGCTCCCAGGAGCCTGTCTTGAGGGACTCCTACGGGATGAATTGGAGCTCATCTAGGAGCCATCTCAACTTGGATGTAACTGGGAAAACCATAACAAAAGGACTGGTTGTGAGCATATTTTACCTTAGGCCTAAGATGGAAACAAATGGGAGGGTTAGGGTAACTGGACAGAATGTAAATACCATATATACTGAAAATGTAGAAATGATAAAACTGACAAAAGTTAGGTAAAGGAGGAAAGAGGATGGAATACAGAGTAAGGGCACTGATAGTCATATTACAGAATAAATAGAATTGACAGATATTATTTAAAATTGGCAAATCACGAAATGTGGAAACAACCTAAATGTCCATTGACTGATGAATGAATAAACAAAATATGGTAATTACATACAATGAAATATTATTCAGCCTTAAAAGGGAAGGAAATTCTGACCCATGCTACAACGTGGGTGAATCTTTAAGACATATGTTAAGTGAAATAAGCTAGTTGCAAAAGGGCAAATACTGTATGATTCCACTCATGTGCAGTACTTAGAGTAATAAATTCATAGAGACAGAAAGTGGAATGATGGTTGCCAGGCACTGGGGGCAGGGGGAGAAAGGGAGTTATTGTTTAGTGAGTTTGGGGTTTCAACTGGGGAGGATGAAAAAAATTCTGGAGATAAATGGTGTTGATGGGAGCCTAAAAGTGTGACTGTACTTAATGTCATTGAACTGTAAAGTGGTTAAAAAGGTGGTTAAAAAGGTATGTTTATGCTATTAATATATGTAATATATAAATAATAAAATTGGCAAATCAAATAATAGGCATATAAGCAAATCATAAGCAAACAGCACAAACATAAAGACAGATAATATTGTCTAAAACTAGGTGATGGAGAGGGAGAGGGAGGAAGATAAAATTTGATTATTTTATCATTGCTATAGTGGGGAACCCATGAATACTGCCCCTAAAGACATAATAATATTAGAGCATAAACTCAGGTCATTTTAGCTCTCAGAAAAACTAAAACACGCACACACACACACACACACACAGAAAACAGACCATGCAAAGATTTTTAGAAAAACCCTATGAAACTAGGAAGTATAATATAAACATATTACATGACTATGTAAATATAATACAAATGTAAAACCAGACCAAACATATCTGTCATATAAATACATGTCATATCAATCATTTATTAATCACAAAATTTAAATCAGATCTCAAAGCAAAATCTAACTCTAAAATAAAATGCTTCATAAAGTTTGAATATAAAAGATTGGGAAAATGTGTGCCAGGCAAATGCAGATGAAAAGAAAGCAGAAGTCACAATCTTAATATTAGATGAGAGCATACACAGGTCCCCCAAATTAGATGAGACAAAGAACGGCACTTTAGAATGCTAAATGCTGCAATTCCTAGTTATGACGGTCATGAGAATATCTATGTGCCAAATAGTACCTCAATATTTACAAAACAGAAATTAGAAGAGATAGAAGAAGAAATAGAAATATACTGGTTTGTGGGGGAGATTTTAATTCACTTTTCTCAGTTCATGTCAGATCAAGGGGACAAAAGCATGAGAGGATATAGAAGACTAAAGTAATTACTAACCTGATTGAACCTGGTAGCTTGAAAATAGAGACACCCCTATGGCACATTTACAAAATTGACATATATACACTACTATGTATAAAATAGATAACTAATGAGAACCTATTGTATAGCACAGGGAACTCTACTTAGTGCTCTGTGATGACCTAAGTGGGAAGGAAATCTAAAAAAGAGTGGATGTATGTATACGTATAACTGATTCACTTTGCTGCACAGCAGAAACTAACACAACATTGTAAAGCAACTATACCCCAATAAAAATTAATTTAAAAGACCCCAAAACAAAAATCGACCATGTGATAGAGCATAAAGAAAATCTTAATAAACTTCAAAAAGTGACGAAACACTGACAATGTTTTCTGAATATAATGCCATAAAATTAGAAATTAATAACAAGCTCAAAAGCACAAGAAAACTTCTATCTGGAAAATTTTTTAAAAATCAACTCTCTTTTAACAATTCTTGGTGAAAGAGAAAATATAAGAGAAATTGCAGAATATCTGGGAAGCAAGGATAAAACCCTACCTTTTAGAACTTACTGGTTACAGTTAAAGCAGTATTCAGAGGAAGTTTATAGCCTTAAAAACTTATGTTAAAACAAAAGAAAGAAAACGAATTACACATATAGCTTTTAGATCAAAAATTAAAAATAAAACTATAATTATGGAATGCCAAGAAAAGAAAAATGAACACATTATACATGAAAGCAAATGGGGCAATACTAAGGCAGTAGTAAGCAGAGGCAATTTCATAGCAATAAGTGTTTTCCTTATCAGAAAAGAGGGAACAAAGTAATTAAAATTTCAGCTGAAGAAATTAGAAGAAAAAAAATCCTTAAAATAGTAGAAGAAAATAATAGAAATAGAAGTAGAAATAAGAAAGTGAAAGCAGTAGTATAGACACCTCGAAGAATTGGTCTTTTGATTGAAATGACGCAACTATAGAAATATGGCAAGAAAATATTCAAAATGATACATACCAAATGTTAACCAAATAATTAGTTGTCATTTTTGGAAATCAGAATTTAAAGCAATAATAATATTTTCTTTATATCTACTTACATTTTCTAGTTTTTAATAATGGACCTATATCACTCACGTAATTAATTATTTCTTAGAAGAGATAGAACTTGGGCTTCATGGAAGAGATAGAACTAGAGCTCGGCCTAATGAGAAAAAATGTTTAGCGAGATGAGAAAGGGACTTACCTGAAGTACAGTAGGCCCTCTGTGCCCGCGGGTTGCATATTTGCAGATTCAACACATGGAATCCGCAGATATGGAGGGCCGACTATCTTGCCGGTCAGTTTCAGATTATAACAAATTTTAGCATGTATATTAAGTGGGTTAATATCACTATTAATTAAGTACATTTTATCATCTATAATAGAAGACTACTGCTTCATTTAAATCTAAACAATGCTCTAACAAGTAAAAGTCATTGTTTGAGAGGAGAGACAAATAAATTGAGTTGACAAATTTAAAGTGGTGCTCAAAAGACATCCTCAGCCCAGTATTTGATCCACTGCCATTTGGACATCCTGGACAGTAAGTATTTTGCTGACTTGTGAATCTTCTAGAGTTCTGTCTTGATCTTCAAATAAAAAGTCAGTTAACTTTTCATTTATTTGTTTGACTGTGATCTTATTCTCAAAAAATGCACCACCCATGTATCTGATGACTCTCGGGTATCTAGAATATTGGATTAATCAGAAGACCCTGTTTTCCAACGTTGCTGAACAAATGTCTTCCCCTCTTACTCCCTTCTCTGGTTCCCCCCCCACCCCGTTTCTCTCTCTCATCTCCATGATTTGCATCCTTTTTATCTCTGCCTTTGTTCTCTTCTTCTCTGCCTCTCTTCCTTCTTGGCGCCCTCTCTTACCTCCACCTCTCCCACCTGCCTTCCCCTTTGACCTTTGTTCTCTAATTTGCTTATGGCTTTTCCCCCTCATTTTCTTCTCTGTCCTTTCTCTCCTTTCCTTTACTTGAACACTGTCATGTTTCCTCTTTCCTTGCTGTCCCTCTTCTTTCCGTCTTTCCTTTGTCCCCCTCTTTTGTCGCCCCATGTGGCAGGTCTATGACACACCACTGGAGAATGTGAAGGACTTTGAGGGCCTGTCTGACTTTTGTAACACCTTCAAGCTCTACCGGGGCAAGACTCAGGAGGAGATGGAAGACCCATCTGTCATTGGGGAGTTTAAGGTAAGTCCTTGAGGACACATCTCTAACCCAGGGAGGCCCAAGACTGGAGTGGTAGCAATGAGTGAAGGAGGTGGGGGCAGAAGTACTGTAGTAACATCAGTAATGACCCCAGTGCTGCAGTTGGTGACCATGTGGGTGATGGAGATGATGGTGGTGACGGTGATGCTGCTGATGCAGAATGTGGTGGGGGTGATGGGATGGCATTGGGCTTAGTGATCGCAGTGGTGATGACTCTGGCAGACATGAGAGTAAGGGACATAGTGGTGATTGTATTGGTGACACTGAGGATGAAAATTAAAGTTGACCCCTCCTTCTGTTCAGGGCCTCTTCAAAATTTATCCCCTCCCAGAAGACCCGGCCATCCCCATCCCCCCAAGACAGTTCCACCAGCTTGCTTCCCAGGGGCCCCAGGAATGCCTGGTCCGCATCTACATTATCCGAGCGTTTGGCCTGCAGCCCAAGGACCCCAATGGGAAGGTAACATTCCTAGAGCTCTCACCTCCCCCGGAGTAAATGGTAGGCTGGAGTACAAAGAGGCTGCAGAATTTGGATACACTCTTTGCCCCAGGGAGTTCACAGTAAGTGGGGACACCAGACAAAGATGTACAAACCTGAGGTGGGACTGCATTGGAGTTCTATCGAGGCCAAGTGTTCCAGGTCAGAAAAGGCCAAAGTCAATACAAGACTTTGGAATAATGGGGAAGACTTCCTGGAAGGAATAGGATTCTTAAGCATTGATGGAGTTTTGATAGGCTGGGAGGGAGAAGAAAACCATATTTTAGGAGGAGTCAGAAACCTTGGCAAAGGTTTGAGAGCAGACTCAGTGTAGGTTTAGCACAAGGATAAGGCATAAGGACAAGGGACATTGACGGTGTAGGCTGGGGCAGGACTTTGTGGGACTTTCAAGGGTGGGGTGGGAGGGAAGAAGGAGGGGTAGGGCATCATGGGTAACCGTGCTGGCCTGGCCATGGCGGAGCCTGAGGCAAAAGGAAAAATCAGCAGTCCTGATCCTGTCTTTATTTAAAACTTTGATATTTTCTTCATCATGGACTGTTGGTGCTGGTTTTAATTTTTAAAATATCACATTAAAATGTTGTTTATTTTGATTACTAAGCTTTCTTGTCTTTCTCTTAAATTTTGTGCCTGAGGCGAGTACCTCACTGACCTACTCTAGTCCTGACCCTGAGTGAAGGAGGGGAGCTTGAGGGAGGGCAGGAGTCTGGAGCTACCCGGAGATGGGGGGAGGAACAGAGTAAAGTTGAGAAGAGAGAGTAAGAGTAAGAGGCGAGGCAGGAGTGGGGGACAGTGGGGTTCAGAGGTACGAGGCTAGGGTCTTCTCTTGTCTCCTTAGACAGGTGCAGGCCTAGCCTGTGTCCTAGGTTGTGGGTAGGGGCCTGGTGTCCCATCCCTGGTGCCCTGCTTTTCAAGGTGAGAAAAGCTGCCCATGCCCTGCTGGGAGATCACAGGGAGAGATGGAACAGTCCCCACCCAGGCACCACCGATGGCCTCCAAGACGTGGCTGTGGTCAAGTTTATATACTTCAAGCCTTCCTGGTGCCGAGACTGACCGTAAACATTCTTTGGCCCTGGCTGCTCCAGAGGCTAGTTGAGGGAATGCTGCTGCTTGTGGGAGGCTGCATTGGGCTGAAAAAGTCTGGCCGTCTCTCTCCCTCTCCACCTGCTGAAGCAGAGGTCACAGACAGGACCCCAGCTTGGCCCAGTCACATATGTCACACTAGCTGGCATGTTTCTGAGGATATGGGCCTGGCCCCCACCCGCCCTCTCCCAGTGGGGCAGTGGATTGGGAGTATGGGGCACTTAGGCGCCCAGTTTCCACTGCCAGAGCCGAGGCTAGAAGCCCACATCGGGGGTGGTGTGCGGGATGGGGCTGCTGGCCTGGCAGGAGGCAGCTTCTTGATGGTAGGCCCCCTTGCCCCTTTGAGGGGCAGAGCAATGAAGGAGCCTCAGAAGCGTGTTGGGAAGGTTATGTCGCTGAAGTGTTTCCTTCTTCTCCCCCAGTGTGATCCTTACATCAGGATCTCCATAGGGAAGAAGTCGGTGAATGACCAGGACAGCTACATCCCCTGTACTCTGGAGCCTGTGTTTGGAAAGTAAGTTGGGGTGGCTTGGGTCTTGGGGTGGAGGTGCCAGTCTGGATAACCCACAGCCCAGCGGGAGAGATGTGGCTGCCACTGGGAAGTCCCCATCTCCTGGAGCAAAGCTGTGTTCCCTAAATCTTGCACGTCTGTGAGGGTGTAACCTCAGCTAGCACTTCCTTAAGCGCTAAAGGCTTGACTCCTTGCAGAAGCTCCTAGTTAAACAATTACTTTGAAGATCAGAAATCTAAATGGAAACCCAGAACATGCATTTGCTAATTCTCCTTTTTTTTTTTAGATCAACTTTTACTTTGGAATAATTTGAGATTTACAGAAAAGTTACAAAGATACTACAGTTTTCGTATACCCATCACTCAATTTCCTCCGCCATTAACATTCCTACCTAACCATGGTACATGTATCAAAATTAAGAAATTGATATTGGCGCATTACTATTAGCTAAGCTCTAGACCCTTTTAGGATTTTGCCGATTTTTCCATTAATGCCCCTTTACTGTTTCAGGATCTAATCCAGGATTCCTATTACATTTAGTAGTTATTCTCTTTTACTGTTGCACGTTCATCTGTGGCAAATAGCGGAAGGATGTGGACTCAAGAGGGTAAAATGCTTCCTAAAATCTAAGAACGAGGGAAGGAAGAAGCAGTGCCCATTGCACGGGAGTAGTTCCCAGGCTTCCTGACTTGCTTGCTGTTTGGATGCGAGCGTATTTAGGGCAGAGAAAGGAGAATCTTGAGGGAGGTTCCAGCTATTTCTCTAGCACCTGTAGGAGAAGGCATGTACCGATATTGTCAAGTGACACACTGGATTCGTGAACCGGTGTCTCTTGAGTTAGTTGTAGTCAGCTGGCCCTGCAGAGAGACCCAATCAGCCAGGGGAAATGCCATTTTTGAAGGGGAAACAGTCCTGGCCAATGATGAACTGGAGGGAAGGGCTGCGGGGAGGATGGTGGGTGGGAGAGAAGAACCCTGTTTGGTGAACCCCAGTGGCCAGCATGGGGCCCCAGGCTGATGGGACCACTGAGGGCCCAGGGCAGGGTAGGGGAGCTAGTGTAGAAACACGCCTCTCCCTCTCTGTTTTACCATCTCCCTCGGATCATGGCCACCTGCTCTGCTTGGGGTATCAAGCCTCTTGTGAGTCCACAGCAGAAGCTCTTTGTTTCTATCACCCACGTGTTGACCAGCAGAATTCATGGGACATAATCAGACACAACTTTGATTTTGTCTGCCAGTTTCCCGTAAACATTTATTCTGTGCGGGTGACCTTCCTCACTCCCTGAGTGGAAACTGTGGCAGGCAGGCCGCTTTCCGCTCAGGTTTAGACAGTCCACTTTGCCGTCAGCCCACCGTCTCGAGTTGGTAACCAGAACGCGCATTCATGTGTCATCAGGAGGGCACCGGACGGCTGGAGGGAAGCCGCTCCCTCTCGCAGCTGCGTCCACCTTGGGCACAGCGTGTGCGCCTTGGGGGTGTGTGCGGAGGGGAGGAGGGTCTTTGCCCCGTGTCCCCCCCGCCCCTTCCTGCCGTCCTTCGCCATACTTGCAGGGCCAGGACTGGCGAGCCTGTGTGAGAGGAGGGGCCCATCTCAAGTGCTGACTTCGCCCCATCCGGCACCCTTTGGACGGCAGATGTTTGCTTTCCTGTGGGCTTTTCAGACACCCCCTGAGCCCTCCTAACGTAGCTCCTGGGATGTGGCAGGTGCTGTGTCCCTGTAGCGGGTGTCCCCCTCCCATACCCCCCAACCCGTTCTCAGATGGGCCGCCCCACAGTCTCTCGCTGTTGGAGCCCCAGGTCCCGTGGGACAGGCTTCATAGCAGCAGCCCCCTCCTCCGCAGGCAGCGCTGCAGTTCCGTGCCCAGCCAGGACGGGAGCTCAGCTCCTCCCAAACGTACCCCCACCTCCTCTCTGCTACCAGCTGCTTGTGCTTCCTCCACCACAGCTCGGGTGCCAGGCTTGTGTGTCCCTCCTGCAGGGAACTCATTTCAGGGGAGAAGGGACAGCACTTCTACACTTGACCTCCGTGGGAGGTGACGGGGGGTCTCAGAGCACGGCAGGAGCTCTCTTCAAAGAAACCTCCACACAAATCCTCTCTTAATCCCACTCCAGAAGGAGTGGTGGAGCCCCAGGAGTCCGGAAAGTGGATCCCAGGCCATGCCCTTGGTAAATTTCTGGAGCTCCGGCACCTGGCTCTGGAGTTTCACATCTCTTGTCTCCAGGTGTCCCAGTTGAAACTTCATTTTTAACCTTGTGCTCCATTATTCGTCCATTCTCTGGCCCATCAGGCAGGCATCTGCTATATGCCCAGCTCAGATTATTTGGGAATACCGCACACACACACACACACACACACGCACACACACACACACACACACTCTCAGACAAGCCCAGCACCGGGAGTGCTGTGGGTGGTGTGCTGTAAGAGCTATAGGAGGCTTGAGGAGGGTGGACTGCAGGCCAGTCCTGGGAGAGGAGGAGGAGACCAGGGGTGGCTTTCTAGCTCTTGCTCCAGCCTTGCCACCCACTTGAGTTTGCGCTGTGTCCGGTGACCTCTGGGAGCTGGCGTCATCATGACAACTGCCTACCCCCCCACAATAGGATGTTCGAGCTGACCTGCACTCTGCCTCTGGAGAAGGACCTGAAGGTTACCCTCTATGACTACGACCTCCTCTCCAAGGACGAAAAGATCGGGGAGACGGTTATCGACCTGGAGAACAGGCTGCTGTCCAAGTTTGGGGCTCGCTGCGGACTCCCCCAGACCTACTGCATGTAGGTGCACGTCACTGGCTGCTTCCCTGACTGTGGGCCGAGCCCTGACTGTGTGCCAGCCTGGGCCTAGCACAGCACAGACACTGTCTCTCTCAGTCAGCCCAGGTCTTATCCCCACTCCATAGATAAGGAAACTGAGACCTGGACTTGTAAGTGGTGGGATTAGCATTTGAACGTGCTTATCTGAAGCTAAGAACCCAGCTCTTCCTCGCGTCTATAATCAAGTTCTCCTTAAGGCACCGTAGAGGGCCTGGAGAGGGGAAGGAGAAGGGAGACAGACAATGGGACACACAGCCCCGCTGGGCCCCAAGGTGAACTCACGTGTGGCCAGCCCCACCCACTTCCTGCCAACTTGGGTCTTGTCTGGGTCTGATTCTTTAAAGTTGGACATTGGAAACATTTCAGTTCCAATTCCATGTGTATGTAAAGAAGTCCTTTTGTCTCTGGGCCTCAGTTTCTCTGTGTGTGAAATGGGCTCCCCGGTCATGATGAACAATCACACAGGGTGCCCACGGTCAAAGTGAAGGGTGGGTGATGCCGTGCGTGTGGGTACATAGGTCACTGCACACACCTCTGCCCCCATTAGTGTCCTGGAGCGTCTCATCTTTGTCTTGTGTTTGGGCCTCAGCTCTGGACCCAACCAGTGGCGGGATCAGCTCCATCCCTCTCAGCTCCTCCACCTGTTCTGCCAGCAGCGCAGAGTCAAGGCCCCCGTGTACCGGACAGACCGTGTAGTGTTTCAGGATAAAGAATACACCATCGAAGAAATAGGTGAGTTCTCCCTCTCCTGCCCTCTCTCTTGTGGGTCCTCTCCTGCTGGATGTAACCACTGGACACAACCCACACCAGCACGGTGTGGCCTTGAGTCTCTCCAGGGCAGCACAGATGGACTAAACTTGCACTTGGTATTCTTGGGACCAGTACTTACCTGGGACACCATTGTGAAAATTAGAGGGCAAGGTGGGGCCAGGGTCAGGGCGGGTCAGGGTCAGAGCTCAGTCTAAGACCAGGTTGGGGCCTGTCTGGTGAGATGAGGGGTGATGAGGGGTGAATCTGAAGATGAGGGGTGAGTCTGAAGCCAGGGTCAGGGTCATGGTTAGGATCAGTCTGCTTCTGGCTTTGTGTGGGCAGACTGGTCAGAGTTTGGGTAGAGCCCACGGCTGAGAAAGTTTTCTACTTAGTCATACTAGTCTGCCAGCTTCACCTTGACGGTACCTTCTGAGCCCCCAGTCACAACTCCTTCACCTGATACATCCAAAGGGTGGCAGGAAGCCCTGTAGCCCCCGTCTTGCCTAATGCTCTGGGTCTGCCTCATGCTCATGCCGAGGGTCCTGCCATGTGCTCCCCGCGTGTCTGAGATGCTCATAGGCCTGCATGGCCCACCCAGAGCAGCTCAGACTCCCCAGAGGTATTTACAGACCCAGCTGGCCCCTCGCCTCCTGCTGGTTTCGGAGATGTTTGATGTCAGAGCTGGTGCTGAGGTTGTAAAAGGGGAGGGAGGCTTTGGCTCCCTCACCTCAAATCCCCCTCCTCCTCCTTCGTTTCTCTGATTCTCCGAGGTCGTGGCTGAGCCAGGCTCCTTTCCATTAGGCCCTAACCCCTCCCCCAGTCTCTTTTCCTGTAGGACATGCATCTGTTTTAGGGGTGGTCTCATTTCTTTCTGCTAGTCTGTGAGCAGCACAGGAACCAGGGCTCATGGTCATAAATTCATAGGAGAAGAAAGCCAGAAAGCTGGAGTCGGTGAGGCCTGACATCTCCCTGTTTTTGCAGTTGAGGCCATTCAGACCACGAGTGGTTAACAACCCGCCCAAAGTCACGCAGCTGGTTAGAGGCAGACTCAGGTTCCTGGCCCGGTGGTCCTTCTGCAGTGCTGCGCTGCTTCCTTAGTGGCACCTATTAAAGTGGACAGGGCAGGTTTGATGGATGAACGTGTGTATGTGTGTGTACGTTAGAATCTGTGCTGGTGAACATGGGCTCACCTGAGTGCACAGACCTGTGTGTGTACGTGTGTATAGACACATGTGGACCCTCCTACCACCAGTCGAGGCCTCTGTCAAGGGGGCTCCAAGTTCATGTTGCTGGCTGGTTGGCCAGGCTTGTCAGGGTCAGAACCACCGCCGTGTCCTCACCCCATCTACAGTACCAGTCCCTGACCCAACCCCCGGCAGGTAGAGCTGTACCTGGGAAGCACGCAGGGGAGGGGAGGGGTATTCACATCCAGTCATGCGCCTTTCCTAATGAGTGTGTGATCTCAGCTGCCCTGCTACCCAGCTGTGTGACTGCCCGGTGCTTCATGTCTGTCATCTGTGAAATGGGGCTAATAATAGCACTTACCTTTTAGGGTTACTTTGAGGATCAAGCCCTGTCAATATTTATGAAAAGCAGTGCCTGGCTCCTGCTTTATAAGCGTTCTCTGTTACTGCTATTATTTTAGCTACTGCTACTAATCAAAGAGATTGCATGAAACAGAGAATACTACTGAGAGCACTTAGATGCCCAATCTGGGAGAAGAGCTTGTGGAGCCTCAGAGTTGAGAGCAATCTGGAAGGGCTTCCTGGAAGGAGTGGGCTTTGGAGGGTGGGGAGAATTTGTATTGGGTGGGAAAAAGGAAGGAGAGCTTACAGAAGAGGCTTGGTAGAGTTGGTGGCAATGGGGAATCTGGATTTTAAGCCCAGAGCCTGTGGACAACGAGGTTTCCCTTACAGAGAACGAGACGTGAGGGCCAGAAGAACTGTGTCTGGGCTAGGGGTGAGGCTGCAGGGTTAACAGCTTCCCGAGGCCCTCAGGCCCCCCTACCATCTCCTGGTCACTCTGTCCTGGCAAATTTTTTGTCTTCTCTCTGGGGCAGAGGCTGGCAGGGTCCCGAACCCACACCTGGGCCCAGTGGAGGAGCGTCTGGCCTTGCATGTCCTCCGGCAGCAGGGCCTGGTCCCTGAGCACGTGGAGTCCCGGCCCCTCTATAGTCCCCTGCAGCCGGACATCGAGCAGGTAGGACCTCCACCCTCGGGCCCCAGAGCCCCTGACCCTCAGCTACCCCTCCCCAAGGACAGCTTGGATATCCCAGAAACACCAGTGGAGACCTCAGGATTTGGCTAATCCCTCGTTGTAGAGTTTCTCCACAGCCTGAATGGTTACCATTGTTGGCCTACGAGGGGACCTCTTGAGTCGGGCCTCCCCCGGCTGCCTGCAGGCCTCAGGGCCTGGGGAATGAGGCTTCTCCTCCATCCCCGTGTAGGCTGGACCTCTGGCTGCCCACAGGTCATTCTGAAGCCTCGCTGTTTCAGCCTGGCCACAGGGAGTCCTCCCCTGCCATCAGTCAGTGACATTGCAGATGGCCAACCCTGTGCTGGGCAGTGGGGAGTTCAGACAGGGCGAGCCTATGACAGAGAGGCAGAGTAGCCATCAGGAGGGCCAGGGGAATCCTCCCAGGCAGAGGGAGGGAGGGCAGAGGGACAGCAGGCCCAGGGGTGACATGGGGAGGCTTCCTGGAGGGGTTTGGAGGAGGGGGAGGAGAGAAAATGTTCCAGGTGGAGATGGGCCGAGGCAGCCTTTGTGGCACTAAGGTGCCTTTGTAGACATGCAGAGAACATCCTCTCTGCTGTTTGGAGCTGAGCTCTCCTCCCCTTGGTGGCGTGGCCACCAGCTCCCCAGAGTGGCACTGCAGGTGTTGAAATGTCAGCTCTTTCACGCTCATGTGAACCAGAAGAAGTTACGTCAATCCCTGCTCCTTCTTCTGTAAGATGGGGACAGAGATAACAGCCGGCTTGCAGAGAAAGAGGGAGCTAAGTGGTGGCAGGTAGAGTGGTTTCTTGTCGTGGAAGCCCTCTGAGCCCCCATCACTAAACCAGGCTCTCTGAGCCTCCACAACTGTGTACACCATCCCCAAGGCCGAGTGCCCCCTGCCCTCTTCCGCCTGGCACAGTGAGACTCAGCAAACATCGCTGTCTCCAGAGAGCTGCCCTGACCCCTGATCCCCAGGTGCTACCCCAGTCCTCGGCCTGTGGGGCAGTGGGCTCACCCCTGTGGTTGGCCCTATGGTCCCCTTGAGGGCACCTCTCCTACAGGGTGCTGAGCCTTTCCATGCAGGGCCTGGGGTTTCCCTGTCCTGTGCTCCAAGTATCCAGTGCAGAGCAGGTGGTCAGGAGATGTTGGTTGAATGAAGAGGGTGGCGAGAGAGCAGGGTCATGTCTCCCTCCCCAGGGGAAGCTGCAGATGTGGATCGACCTGTTTCCAAAGGCCCTGGGGCGGCCGGGACCTCCTTTCAACATCACCCCACGGAGAGCCAGAAGGTGACTTACCCCAGCCCAGGCTCAGAGCTGAGCAGGGTGGTGGACTGGTTGCTGCGGGTGGGAGCAGGTGGTGGCTCTCGGGCCAGGCTTTGGGCCACTCAGGCCTCACTCTTGTGCGGGCCTGGCCAAATGTCCAGCCAGGCAAGCAGCAGAGTCTTGGGTGAGCTGACTTCTTGGCTTCTCGGACAAGGACTGCCCACCCTTTGGTGGGAAACCCACGTGGATTTGAGTCATCCTTCTCTGCAGGTTTTTCCTGCGTTGTATTATTTGGAACACCAAGGATGTGATCCTGGACGACCTCAGCATCACCGGGGAGAAGATGAGCGACATTTACGTGAAAGGGTAGGAAGTCACCCTCCTTCCCACCCGTCCCGACTCCACGGTGTCGCCCCTGCTCCCTCGGGGTTGGTGGTCGGTTGGGAAAGGGGGAACTCTGGGGTAGGGAATGCGGAGAACAAGAAAGGAAGGATGGCCTTATGGGAGTGGTCTCTACCTCTGGGGAGTCAACCCCCACCAGATTTCTCCTTCCACATTAATCTTTGCGTTGAACTTACAAGGCTTGAGGATATCCCTCAAGAGAGAAGTGAGAACATTTTGAAATTTATGGCACATTTGGTACATCAAATTATTTTTCCTTTATCACTTACCAAGTTCAATGACCTTCTTAATTCCTTGTTTGCTTACATTGAGGCTGTGTATTGTGGTGGAGACCTTAATTAGCCATGTTCTCTAAAATGTGTACGTCTAGTTGGATGGTTGGCTTTGAAGAGCACAAGCAAAAGACAGATGTGCATTACCGGTCCCTGGGAGGTGAAGGCAACTTTAACTGGAGGTTCATTTTCCCTTTTGACTACCTGCCAGCTGAGCAAGTCTGCACTGTCTCCAAGAAGGTGGGTGTCATTCCTGCCCCCAGGGGTGCTCGTCCCAGGGCTGTCGAAGAACAGCCCGATCACTGTCAGCCGTGTCACTGTCATACTCCTACCGCTGCCCCGCCATTGCTGGAACCACCTCGGCTATCGCTGCGTAACAGCCGCCACCATTGTCCCATCACTGCCAGCGTCACCACCACCACCACTCCTCCTACTTCTGCCGTCATTGCCATCGTTAGCATTGCTGCCACCCCACAATCTCCCCCACGCCAGCGCTACAACCACTGTATATGGCTAAGTCCAAATCCTAACAAACCAAGCCGCAGGGAGGGCCATGGGCTCGGAGTGGGGAGAACATTGGTAGGGAAACCCAGCACGGTCATCGGAGAGCGGTGAGGCAGAACCCCTAGGGAGGGCGGCCCCAGAGGGCTGTCTGGCCTTCGGTTTGGGTTGTCTGGCCACCCGCTAGGATCGGGTGTTGCTTAGCCAAGTCCCTGCTGCTTCCCCCTTTCTCCCATTTCTGTGCCTGTGGCCTGTGGCCACTGTCCAGGCTAGTATCTCTCAGACCTGGGGAGGCCCGGTGCCTCAGCCGGGGGAAGGGGCAGCTCCAGAGACCTCAGCTCTTTGTGGGTTAGCATCTTCTAGTTGAGGCCTCATCTGGGCCGTGAACTCTCTCCTCCTGAAATAGGCGGGTCCCAAGGCGGGTGGTGGCCCCGAGCCTGCCCTTAGGGAGCAGCCCCCCAACACAGTGAGGAGGGTGCCGTGGGCAGGCATCTTCCGGAGGCGGAGGGCCCCTCTGTTGGAGCTTCTAACTACCGCGTCCCGCCTAGAATCAGTTCCTCCTGCACATGCCCTCCTGTTCCACAGGGTGAATACCTCTCTGGAGTTTGGGTCCTGCTTGTCCTGTTTCCTTCCAGAGGTGGCGCAGGGCTCCAAGGCAAAGCTTCTGTGACTCCTCTTTCTGTCCTGAACGGTCGTGTGGCTTAAAGAAGGGGAATGTGTAATGGGCCTCGGCTGCCTAGGTCCTCTTCTTTCTCTTCATTGCATCCTTCCCCCGTGACCCCTTCCTAACCCGACAGACAGAATCATCTGCGCTTCAGAGAAACCAGAATGTTCCGCTGAACATTCTGAAACCATCAAGCAAAAGAAAATATGGGTTAAATAAGGTTAAATGAATTCTTTCGCCCAGGGATGCCTACCAGAAAGCAGAGTTTAGCAACAGCCCTGGATGCTGTGCAGTCAAGGAAAGCCTAGCCTATTTGTAGGTTTAATCCTGTTTGCCTTTGTTCAGCATGTTTGTCTATCAGAAGATGTTTCCATAACAAACCAAATGCTGCATTTGCTGGGGAGAGCTCCAAGTCAAACAAACAGTGCCTGTCCTTGCTGTGGACTGAGGGAATGGGGAAGGGCGGCCAGGCCCTCCTTCAGGCCACCTCCCGTGCTCATCAAGCCCTACACCGGGTGAGGCGTGGCTGGGGAACCGAGGCTGAGAGATGCCGATCGGCCCAACACGGGAGGCGGGACCACCTCTCTGTTGTGACAGGTGGAGATGGGTGCAAGGAGTCGCAGGGAGCAGAGTCTTCTGTTCTTGCTACAAAGTAGGAAGAGAGAGAATCTCCTGGCACTGTGGCAGGTGATTTGAGACAAACGACAAAGGCGGGAAGCAGCTATTATTGAGTGAAGGAGGGAAAGCGGGAGAGAAAGGCAGAGGGAGAGGGAGCTAACTGGTGGTACCCGGCAGTTCTGAGGGCCCAAGGGGATTGCTGATAAAGAATTTGAGGGGGCTCCATTTTGGCAACAGTGGGGTTTCACCTCTGCCCTTTAGACACCAGCAAGGAAGCAGAGAGCCACAGTGACCCACAGTGGAGTTCCAGAGGAAGAGAGGGGCTGAGGGAACTGACCCATTGGCCCGATGGCCCGCAGGACTGGGCTGGCCTTGGGAGAAAGAGAAGGCTATGGGGGATGCTGAGCCGGGAGGAGTCAAGGAGGCTGGGAGTGGCCCGGAGTGGTGACGGCTGAGGGAACGGGACTTCCCCCCCGCTTGGTGCCAGGCTCCGGAGAGGGTGGCTGGAGGGGGGTGTGTGGCAGAGGTCAGAAGAGGAGGCTGGGAACAGTCAAGGGGTTCTGAAGTCATCCAGGAACATGAGGGAGGAGCTGGCTTGACCCGAGACAGGGCCTTCGGGTCCCTCTGGGAGAAAGGACGCTGGGAGGCAGGGGGAGCCGTGCCCACAGTGGGGCACCAATTAGCTGGTCTGGGCTAGGGGACTAAGCCCGGGGGCGGTTAGTGCAGGGGCACTGCGCAGCCTCTGGGCTCCTTGGTCCTGCTGCAGAGCCAGCCCTCTGCCGAGGGGCTCAGCACCTCTGGCAGGCAGGCCCTCCAGGGACCCCATTAACCAGACGAGACTGTTGTAAAGTACAAGGTCTCCTTTCATCCGGCGGCTTTGAACCACTGCTGGTTGCCCTGGCCGGCTCCCCACCTGGAGCCCAGCACACCCACCGGAGCCGACCTGTGCGTCAGGCACCCACCCTGCAAATAAACAGCTAGTAAAAGGGCCCAGACTGGGAACATAATGAGTGCCTGGGACCTGGGGGGCCATCCCCAGGCTGGAGCCCCAGCCCAGCTGCTCCCACCAGGGGCTGTTTGAACCTCTGGCTCATTACTGAGCCCATAAACCGGGCTGGCCAGAGGCATGGAGGATGCTGGCGTCCTGTACAGGCAGGCCTGCAGAGCTGGCCATAAAAGCCCCGCCGGAGGAGGGAGGCACCTGCAGGAGGGCTGGGGCCCGGAAAAGGGGGAGGCACCAGATGGGGGTTGGGAGCGAGGGGCCAGGTGGGGACCTGAGCCCCTTCACCAACCCAGGCAGCGGTCCAGGCTGCAGCCAACTGCTCTGCAAGGTGATCATTCCTCAGGGGGCACTGGCCACGGTCTTTGGTCACGAGACCTCTGTGGGGTCCGTGTGATCTGGAGGGGCCACCAAGGCTGTGTACACAGGGCACCTGGGCCCAGACAAACCCTGTGTGGTCAGCAGTACTCCCTGACTCCCGTGAAGTCTGTCCCCCTGAGACTGGGTCCAGGTCCCTGCTGTGACCTGGCACCCACCATCTGCGGGATGGTCAGTGGGTCCTTGCCACCCACTCAGGTAAAGCTACAGTGAGAGGACAGAGAATAGGTGTGAGTGGGAAAGCCCCAGGGACGGTCCTTTGGGTTGAGTGTGACTGGACCCAGGGGCAGACCCAGGCCTCAGCGTGCCAGTCCCCAGCCCTCAGCTGCTCCACGAGGCCTTGGTGGAGAGAAGCCCAAGACAGTGCTGTTCCAGGCTGACTGGTCTGAGGAAGTGGGGAGGGGACAGCAGTGGGCTGGTGAACTTCCCAGCACCGGGAGCTTTCGGTGTGCCCCAGGGCAAGCTCTTGGAGGTGAAGGTGGGGTGGGCTGGGGACACTGCCCCCAGTGCCAGATCCTTACAGTGGTGTGTCGGGGGGTCCCCCCTGACACCCAGGTTCCCAGCCAGCCCACCTTGTCCCCAAGATCACAGGGGCAGGATTAAGAGACTCTTGAACCTGACTGACTGCGTTGGAATCCAGCTTGCCTCTTCCCAGCTGGGTGACTTGGATAAATTACTCGCTCTGGTTTGCTCAAGATAGTATCTCCTCAGGTCGTTGGAAGCATAAATGATTTCATAGTGGGAAAAGGCTGATGCCTAAGAAGTGCATATTAATGTTGTTTTTATTAGCTGTCAGACCTTGGGCAAATTCTTAACTTCTCAAAGCCTTTGTTACATCATCTGTAAAACGGCAATGAGAACCTTGACTCATGGAATTGCGAGGATTAAAGGAGCTACCTTATGTCAAGTGAGCCTGCGTGGTCCCCTCCTGGGCCCTTGAACACTGCCCTCTGGGGTCTCAGCAGTCTTCCTGCCAGGACCTGACTCTGGCAAGTCCCTAAGGGACGTCCCCCTCCGCTGCCTCCTCCAGGCAGCCTTCCAGGCTAGAAGGGACCACTGCTCCTCTCTAATCCTGCTCTCCTGCTTCCTCCTCTGCTTCTCCTCTGGGCCAGGATGCTTTCTGGAGGCTGGACAAGACAGAGAGCAAGATCCCCGCCCGAGCGGTATTCCAGATCTGGGACAACGACAAGTTCTCCTTTGATGACTTTCTGGGTGAGCACCATTTCCGGTCAGCACCATCTTGCCTGTCGGGGCTGCCCCAGAACCCCTGCCGTATGTTTGTGCGCCTCTCTCAGGCCTTGTGGGAAGGCTGGCAGGAGGATCAGGAAGCTGAGGGTCACTGGTCCCTGGTGCTGAGTGAGGTCGGTGACACAGAATAGTGCCAGGGTGATCAGGGTGGCCAGCAGGGTGGCCTGCCAGCCGAGGTGGCATTGAACGCTGGGCCGTGTTGGAACAGGGAGCGCTGGCTTGGAGGACGAGGTGGAGATGGTGCCTTCCCAGGGTGAGGTGTGGGGCCTGCTGGCTGGACTGTAAGGAGCCGCCCCAACACAGCTATAAAAGTTCACTGGGAAAATGTGGCCTATCCCTACGATAGGATGTTATTCAGCCACAAGAAGAAATGAGATCATGCTACACCATGGGTGAACCTTGAAAACACACCAAGTGAAAGAAGCCAGACGCAAAAGTACAAATATCGTATGATTCCTTTACATGAAATGTCCGCAATACGTAATCCACAGAGGCAGAAAGTGGTTGCCGGGGATTGGAAGGAGAGGAGGTTGGGGACCGACTGCTCGTGGGTCTGGTGTTTTTTTAGGGGTGATGAAAATATTCTGGAATTAGATAGTGCTGGTGGTCTCACAGCGCTGTGAATATACTAAAAGCCACTGGGTCGTACACTTTACGGTGGTTAAAATGGTGCATTTTGTTATGTGAATTTCACCTCAGTAAAGAAATAGTGAGCCTGTGAGAAAGGCGGTCCAGGAAGTCACGAGTCCTATGTTGCAGTTCTGCTCTGCCACCTGGGGGCAGGGCGGGCTTGGACGAATCACTGGAGCCCTCCCTGTGTGGCCCGCGATTGCAGAAGTCACCGAGCTCTTGGGCCCCTGCAGAGGATGCTCTGAGGAGCAGCCCCAGCAGGAATGGGGACGAGGGCTGCCTGCCCGTCGGGCTGCTCTTCACCCCACTTCCCCCCGACCCCGAGCCTGGTCCCCTGAACTTGGAGGACTGGCAGCTGCTCCACAACTTCACTGTAAAAGATTCAGGGTGTCAAAATCATAGCACTAAGTTGGACTTTTGTTCTCTTACTTATTATTCTGGAATACATAATTCCTGTGGCAAAATTAGAAACCGGAGATAAGCAATGCCTCCCCTTCCTATTTTATTATAATCTCACTACCCAGAGATAACCTTCACTAATATAACTAAGATAACCTTCACTTTGGCGTGTATTATTATTTTGGCATGTATCTTATACAAGCAAACACACATGTGTTATATGTGTATTTTATACATATATATACACATGCGTATATGGCATATAGATAGCAAAATTGGTTTATGTTACACATACTGTCTTAGATCTTGATTTTGGGGAAAACAATATATTAAAAACATTCTTTCTGTCAGGAGTTATCCATCTGCATTGTATCTGCATCATGGTGCTTAATGTCCTGCCTGATGTCCCATCGGACCCTCATTAGTCCCCCCTAGGTGCGTACTCGGCTCGTCTCTAGGATTTCCTGCATGAGTGACAGCCTAGGCTTACATTTCTGGACCCTTTGTGCGTATCTTTCCTCAACTCTAAGAAGCAGATTTTTAGAGTCTTTGTACATTTTAGTGGTTTTTGAAACATTTTGTTCAGTAGCCCTCTAGAAAGATTTTACATTTTTATATTCTCACCTGTGCCCTGTTTGCCTTAAGGGCACCATTTTCCCTAAACTTTTGCTGCCAGTGTTATCTTTTTTTAAAAAAAATTGCCAATGTGGTACCTAATTTTTATCTTTCTTTGCATTTCTTCATTACTTGTAAGGTACAACTTTAAAAATATGTTTGTTATCCATATTGTTGATGGGATTTTCTTTTTCATGGTTTTGGGATGGTCCTCTTTTATTGTTGATTTTCAGAGCTTTTTATATAGTAAGGACACATTACAAATAATTTCTCCATTTTTCAATTGCTTTTCACATTTTTATGGAATTTTTTTTTGCTTACAGACTAAATAATTTTTTTAGCATCAGTCTATCAATCTTGCCTTTATGAGGTGAGGCTCATAATTTTAAAATCAATTTTAAAAAGACAAACAAAAAATTGCATTTTATTGAATGAGAAAACAGTGTCCAAAATAAAATTAAACAGGATCATCTTTTGTTTTTAAAAATAAAACTACTACTTTTTAACTCCATAGATTTCTTTTTTTTTAATTGGATGTTTGTATATATTGTGAAGTGATAGCCAAAATAAGTTACATAGTTAACGATGTTTTTTTCTTGTGAAGAGAAATTTTAAGATCTACTCTTTTAGCAACTTACAGTATTATTCAGAGATTTCTTTTTCCCCCTTCATAATGTATTTTCTAATTACATATTTTACTTCTTTTGAGTACTTATTACTTTTATTTTAAAAATGATAGTTAAGATCTGTAATTTTGCCATCAGGAAATAATCCTATGTTTCCTTACAGTCTTTATGTAGATATAGTATATATAGCTTAATATCCTGATTTTTACTTAATATTATCTTGGGATCATGTTTAAAATGGGAAATAAACATTCATCTGTAGTTGAGGGATGGAGAGATGTGTAGATGGGTGGATAGATAGATGAATGCTGATAGAGTTGAACAAATGCTGGATAGAATAATGACCTGATTAATGGATAGATACAGTGCTCAGCAAATGGTAGCTCTAGAGGGATGTAGACAGTTAAGTCAAAGCAGATAGATGTATGGAAGGATAAATGGATGAATGGAAAGAAAGAAAGCTAGAAAAATAGATCCAGTCAATGAATACTTGCAGTAACTGAGCATTCCACACTGAAAAAACCCTAATCTCCTTTGTATGGTATTCAAGAATTGTTACCAAGTCCAGGCTTGCTCTGCTCACTGCACGACAGGCCAAAGAATTGAAGACGAGGTGTTGAGACAAGGAATACGACTTTATTTGGAAAGCCGGCAGACCAAGAAGATGACAGACTAAAGTCTCAAAATAACCATCTTATTAGGGTTTGGATGCCAGTTTCTTTTATAGCACAGAGAAGGGGAGGAGATGAGGAAGTAAAGTAAAAAGGCTATAAGTTTTGCAAATACCACCTGGAATGGCCAGCCTCCGGGAGAGGATGTGTTAATTTCTTCTTTCTTGTAGCCGTCCACAGGTGGACAGGTTCTGGATATTTCCCTGAACAAAGGCACTTTGGTTTAACATTCAGGCAGAGGGGCAGGGTTCCCTGAGTATAGATAGTATGTATAGACATTATGCCATTATGTATAGACAGTATCCTTTTAGTGAACAAAAGCAGTGGAAAGCAAAGGTTAAAGTAAAAGAAACAGATCCAACCTATAGTCCGATTTGGCTCTTCCCTGTTACAATTCCCCACTGTCAATATCCATTCCACAATCTTGTGGAAGAAGGGGTGATGACCGTTCTAATTGCTTCATCAGATGGATCTTTCTGGGAGTGTCCATCGGTGTCAGTGTTCCAAACATTGTTTCTTTTGTTCCTCTCTGGAAAGCATCTCCTTTACACCTGTAGCCTTAAAAAATATTCACAGCTTAAAAGTTGAGAGTTATGATGTATTCAGTGGGAATTTTGAGGGCTTCAAGCTTGGGAGGGAGCACTTCAAGTTAAGGAATTTAGCGCTTTTCTATGTATGGGAAAATGCAAGAGTCTGGGCTCACTGAAATCACTCCCTTGATATGCACCTTAGCTATCTGGGGCCTGTATCCTGTATTCTCATATCCTGAGTTTCCTCAGGGTTCACCGGCTCACGTTGGAGGGCTGCAATCGCTAATGACTGATGTGGCAGGAATTATTCAATTTCTCAGATCCTGTCCTCTTGGTCAGTATTTTGACCAATATTTGGGAGACATTTCATGATCAACTTTTGTCCCACGGCGCTGGGAGGCTCATCCCAGATCAGGCAAAAATTCTTGGTATGCCACTCCAAGTGCTAGTTTTGGGATTAGGCCCTATTGATAATTAAAGATTCTCTGGATCCCCTATCTAACTATGATCCAGGAGACATTTTCCCTTGTTGCTTCTTCCCATACCTAGAATCACACTATTACAATTATTTTACATTACAAATGTGATCTATTTCCTCAAGCTGTTTAGCCATAGAAGTTTTGTTGGAAGCCTGGTTACACACTGGGTACTGTAAGAGACAACGGTCTTATAAAATAGACAGGATATAAGTAATGCAGCTAGTAACATCGACAAAGAGATAGTACAGCAGGGAGACACAAAGTACAAACCATTTGGCTTACAAAGGTGTAATTTACCAAATTACTGTGAGTCATAATTAGCTTAAGGGGAAGGTTTTCCTTACACCTGGAAAACAGATTTAAACCAGTCATTTTTCAGATAGAAACCGTAAAAATTATAACCATATTCACCACTTTACTGAGTTCTATGTAACGAATCCTTCTTGTTAACAGCTTTATAAGCCATCAGGTTTCCCATTAGAATTCTTCAATTTCTTAGCCAGTCCAGCATTATGGCCTGAAAGCCAGAAACTTGTATTTATCCAAAGTCCTTCCTATAAATCTTCTTGAAGAGGAAGCATTTTTACAAAGGCGTCATCAGAGTGAAACCGTAACTGTCTATAATGACAAAAGACTTAAGAAGGCACGTTTAAATCTGATTACAATGTAATTGACAAAGTGACTTGGTTAGTGCTGTGACATGCAACACATTTAGATAATAACTAGAATTATGACGGATAACATTTTACCAGCACACATCAAATTTTAGGAACTCCATATAATCTCTAGAATACCTGTATCATTTGCCATACAGTATAACCTAAGAAGATTTATTACTTATTTGACACTCCCCATGTAACTCAACATACCAAGTGAACCTAATTAGTTAATATCTCTCTTTGGGGTGTTTCAGGGGCCCTTTGAAGCATCCCAAAGTTAGCTAGAGTTCAAAGGAACTTCATTATAATTTTTTTTTTTTTTTTTGCGGTACGCGGGCCTCTCACTGTTGTGGCCTCTCCCGTTGTGGAGTACAGGCTCCGGACGCGCAGGCTCAGCGACCATGGCTCACGGGCCCAGCCGCTCTGCGGCATGTGGGATCTTCCCAGACCAGGGCACGAACCTGTGTCCCCTGCATCGGCAGGCAGACTCTCAACCACTGTGCCACCAGGGAAGCCCCTTCATTATAATTTGATTTGTGAAGTTTTGCCAAAAAAATATCAAAAGGGTTTAAACAGTCAGATAGGATCTCAGGTCACTGTGAAACAATAGTTATTCACTTAGCGGAAGTAACAGTAAAAGATTTCAAAGGCAAATACAGAACAGATCACTTAAAAGGTAGAAAAACTTAAAATCTATTATCAGAGGCAGTTCAGAATCTTAAGAAACCTTGTCTTCTTAACAGAGAGAAAAGCCAAATTCAAATTTTTGACCAGCTTACTTTTAAAATTCATTTACTCAGTTAAACTTATTTTAAACTTAGTCCTGACCATCTACAAAACTCTTTTCTTGGGGTCCACTTTCCATAAACCTTCCATGACTTAACTTATTTTAGCACAATTCTAACTTTCAAGTTGTGGAATATCTGCAGAGATTAATAATTTTATTTTTTTTTAAATTTATTTATTTGTGTTTATTTTTGGCTATGTTGGGTCTTCATTGCTGTGCGTGGGCTTTCTCTAGTTGCGGCGAGCAGGGGCTACTCTTCATTGCGGTGCATGGGCTTTACATTATTGTGGCTTCTCTTGTTGTGGAGCACAGGCCTCAGTAGTTGTGGCATGTGGACTCTAGAGCGGAGGCTCAGTAGTTGTGGTGCATGGGCTTAGTTGCTCCATGGCATGTGGGATCTTCCCAGGCTAGGGATCGAACCTGTGTCCCCTTCATTGGCAGGTGGATTCTTAACCACTGCACCACCAGGGAAGCTCTGGAGAGATTAATTTTAGATAAAGATAATTATTTTTAAAAGTGCACCTAAAGCTCTTATCTCATTTGCATTTTCTTTCCTTAAAAGTTTCTTTACATCAAGTTACTTTCCTTGCTGATAAATTTGCAACAGATATAACAAGATTTTATTTAGCTTATATTAAACCTAGGCATAATGAAAGTATTATACTTAATGCTGATGACTCTAATGACATGTCTATATTAATTAGATCAACAAACAAACATTAATACTGAATATTTCTCAGTGCACATGAACCCGAAATTCATTTAGCTTAATTTTTCTTGTATTTAGAATTGTTTGGTTTGTAAGAACTTACTCTTCTTTAAGCCAATTAAATAGAGCTCATCTGCAAATCAACCCCAGCAATGTTATCCAAAGACAAAGACACATACAAGGACACAAACAAACAGAGACATCATAGTTCTCATTTCAAAATTTCAGCCCTGAGTCATGTACAGCAACATAAAACCTATCAGTTTACAAAAAGAGGTTGGATTAAAATTAGGTTTCTGGCAGATGGAACAAATCAAGTTCACTTGTCTAGATGGCTGAATTTTTACAGAAAAAACACTTAGTTTTTTAATTTATCCTTGACAAGTCAATTTCTAAATTACTTTGCCCTTTTTTCAAAGTTTGCATTTTAAAAAGATGGCAGAGATGAGCGTTCCTGAGAAGACCAGATAGGACACTTACATCTCAAAGATACAGTCAAGTTTTTCCTAGGATGCCTTTGTTTCCCCTTTGTTTAATATTTACAAGCCTCTTAAGGTAAATAGGGAAGGTAGTCAATCAACTTGTTCTCCACTGTCAAAGTTATCTGGGGCCCCTGTGGGGAAATTAGAATCGGATGCCTCAAGTCCAGGAGAGTCCCCTGGCCTCTTACAGGATGTCAGCACAAGGGAAATTGCCCTGCTGTAGACGTGGCTCCTGGTCCAAATTGGGTCTTAGATGGTGGGTCTGTTGGGTCTTAGATGGTGATACTAAACCAGGTCCCTGTGCCTTGGGGGTTATCATAGAAGCTTCTATTTGATCCCCATGGGTAGGGGAAACAGGAGGCGGTGAATATGTTGGTGGCATGTGGGGTGGGGGAGCAGTTGGAGAAACTGCTGGTGCAGCCTGCTCTTTTGCAAAACACTTCTAACTGCGAGACCATATAATAATTGAGTGAGCCATTCAGGGACCATCATTCTTCTGATCCTAACATATATTGGGTCCACACCCTATTACAATAGTATATCATGTCTTTCTTAGTCATAGGCTCATGGCTATGTTTTGCCCATTTATCTAATATACACCTCAAAGGGCTCTCCTTCAGTATAGATGGAGTATTTCCATTTTTTATAAGTTTGATAACACCAAAACACAAAAGACACAAACAAATTCCAACACAAAAGGCCCAAAGAAATTCTACCATCGGTGCACACAAAACCAAGACCAAAACCAATGAACCAGTTCCTAAATCAGGTAGACTTAACCTGCAAAACCAACAAACTAGTTCACAAATCGGGTAGACTTACCCTACAAAACCAACGAACTGGCTCCAAATCAGGTAGAGTCCAACAACAATTTCCCCCTCCAGTAGGGTACCCCAATCAAACAAATTGGCTTATCCTGTAAAGGAAAAGCCCAAATTGAGAGGGAAATATGTTCCCAGTGTGCACGCTGGAGCAACTTACCATACAAAGTCGAGTTCATCAACTTGCAACACAAAAGGATACACAAAAGCAAAACAAGACCAAGACCAAAACAAATGAACTGGTTACTGAATTGGGTAGACTAACCGTACAAAATTGAGTCTGTGGACTCGTAGAAGTTGGTCTTTTCCTTGCTTCAACTGCCAAGCGCTGCAGTAGCTGGCACCGCTTGAGGGAAGTTTGAAGGGAAGATCCTCAGGACAAATGGTCCTGGCATCTGCTAGGCCTTGCCACAATGTTCCCTGACCAGGGCTGGCTAGCCAAAAGCTGCAAGCCTCCTGGCTGGCTTGCCAAATTTGTTACCTAGTCCAAGCTCACTCTGCTTGCCACACGACAGGCCAATGAATCAGAGATGAGGTGTTGAGGCAAGGAATACGACTTTATTTGGAAAGCTGGCAGACTGAGAAAATTGCAGACTAATGTCTCAAAATAACCATCTTATTGGGGTTTGGATGCCAGTTTCTTTTATAGCACAAAGAGGGGGAGGAGATGAGGAAGTAAAGTAAAAAGACCATAAGGTTTGCAAACATCACCTGGAATAGCCAGCCTCGGGGAGGGGATGTGTTAATTTCTTCTTTCTTATAGCCATCCACAGATGGACAGGTTCTGGATGTTTCCCTGAAAAAGGCGCCTTGGTTCAACATTCAGGCAGAGGGGCAGGGTTCCCCAAGGCAGGTTATTATATATAGACAGTATCCTTTTAGTGAAAAAAAGCAGTGGAAAGAAAAGGTTAAAGTAAGAGAAACAGATCCAACATGTGGTCAGATTTGGCTCTTCCCTTTTACAGAATTTCTTCAATTTGGCCTTGGAAAATATTTTTTAGATTTACCTCTCTCACTTAATCCCTTCAGTAACCTATGCTCCAATCCCACTGACTTCGTGTTGTTGGAATTGGATTAGGTGAAACCTCATGAAATTGCTGTTTTTATACGTCAAATATAGTTGAATACCAGAATTTTCGTATGGCTCAACCCAGTAGATGGGGCTATTCTTGGAGAAGATGGATAAAATAGATGAGTAGATGAAGCAGTATAGAAAGATAGCTGCTTGGATAACTAGGTGGGCAGATGAAAAAATTGGTGGATGAACCACAATGAGATAACACTTATACCTATAAAAAAGCAAAAGCAAAAACAAAAAATGGAAAATAACAAGTGTTGGAGAGGATGTGGAGAAACTGGAACACTTGTACATTGGTGGTATGCATGTAAATTGGCGCAGCTGCTTGGGAAAAAGTTTGGCAGTTCCTCAAAAAGCTAAACATATGACCTAGCAATTTCGCTTCTAGTTATGTACCCAAAAGAATTAAAAACTGGGACTAAGACATCTGCACACAAGTGTTCAGAGCAGCATCATTTACAAGAGTCAAAAGGTGGAAACAATCCAAGTGTCCATCAACGGATGAATGGATAAACAAAATGTGGTATATACATACCATGGAATATTATTCAGCCATAAAAAAGTATGAAGTACTGATACATGCTACAACATGGATGAATCTGGAAAACTAATTATGACAAGTGAAATAAGCCAGATACAAAAGGATAAATTTTTATGATCCCACTTATATGAGGTGTCTAGAATAGGCTTTTTCATAGAGAAAGAAAGTAGATTTAGAGGTTAGCAGGGCTGAGACGAGAGGGGAATGGGGAGTTATTACTTAATGGGCACAGAGTTGCTGTTTGGGGGGAATGAAAAAGTTATGGAAATAGGTAGTGCTGATGGTTGCCAAATGTTGTGCATGTAATTAATGCCACTGAAGTATACATCTGAACATGGTTAAAATAACAAATTTTATCTTATCTATAAATATTTTACTGCACTAAAAACGGTTTAAAAAGTTGATGGTTGATGGATGTAGACGATGGGTGAATGAGTGAATTTGCGCATAGTAAGATGAATAGTTGAGCAGGTGGGAAATTCTGTTAAGGGTGAATCAATCAGGGCACAGTAGCAGGCATATGCATGCATGAATAGATGGATGGGAAGCTGTACAGATGGAATGAGAGGCAGTGGGTGGGGAGTGGAGTTTGAGCCATGGGGCTAAGACCATGGATAGAGGCTGAGGAGGCTGAACTTGCCCAGCCCCAGGGTGGCCCTAGGCTGACAGCGACTGAGAAAGCGTGGGCCAAAGCACCCTTCTCTGCTACAGGCTCTCTGCAGCTGGACCTCAACCGCATGCCCAAGCCTGCCAAGACAGCTGAGAAGTGTTCCCTGGACCAGCTGGATGACACTTTCCACCCGGAGTGGTTTGTGTCCCTTTTTGAACAGAAAACAGTGAAGGGCTGGTGGCCCTGTGTGGCGGACGAGGGTGAGAAGAAGATACTGGCGGTAAGTCTGTTCCCTCTGGTCGGTGGAGATGCGGGAGTGACTCGTCCATAGAAATCGCTGAGCACAGACGTGTTCCTCTCCCTCTATCCTGCCCTCCCTGTCTGTTTCCCAAGACACTGTCCCTCTTCCCTGCCAGTTCCCAGCCTTCATCTCCTCGAGGCTCGTATCCCAGGAAAGCCTATCTAAATCTAAAGATGCCCTAATCTCCCGTGGACCCTGTTTAATTTGTACTTGCTCCTTGGCCTTCACAGTGATCTGTATCCTGGGTTCCCCTCTGGCTGGGCTTCCTGTGGAGGACAGGGGTCATGCCACTCCCATTTGAGCAGGACCCTATAAGGGACTGACCTTGTTCCTTGTCCTTGTCTTCTCCCTGCCCAGAGGTCTGCCCAGGGGTGTGACTGGGGACCATGGAGAATCATCCTTCCTCTGCAGAGGAAGTAAATGAGTTTACTGTCCTTCCTTGGTATCAGCAGAGGGTTGGTTCCAGGAGCCCACGTGGACACCAAATCCATGGATGCTCAAGTCTCATAGTCCACCTTCTGTGTTTGGTTTAATCTACAGATCTGAAACCTGCAAATGAGGGCCAACTGTATATTTATTGAAAAAAATTTGTGTATAAGTGGACCTGTGCAGTTAAAACCTGTGTTGTTCAAGGGTCAACTGTACTTAGAAATGGCAGACAGACAGCCAATCCCTAAAGTGGCCCTTGAAATAAAATATCCATGTTGTATAACAAATTATAACAATTAATAAGAAATACTAACATCTCAAAAGAAAAATGAGCAAAGGGCATACATAGATAGTACATAAAGCAGTACAGTGGCCATTACATATTTAAGAAGTTTCATTTCCCCTAGTAATTGCATAAAGGAATGCTTTAAAATGTGAAAACATTTTTTAGGTATTATATTAGAATTTTTAAAAAATAGAAACACTTATTGCCAGTGAGGATGCAGAGAGACAGCCTTCTCATTTACCTCTGTTGGGCAGGCTAATGATTTTTACCATTTGGGGAAACAATGTAGTGATATATAGCCAGAGACTTAACAATATTTATGCCCTTGAAATTTTTCATCCCACTTCTAAAATCTCTCCTAAAGAAATAACCCCATAAAATTAAAAATTTAGGGTTTATTTGTAACAACAAAGAGTTGGAAACAACCTCAACGAACCAAAATAACTGGTTTACTAAATAAATTCTGGTCAACCATTACATAGATACAGCATTAAAAGCAAACTTTAAAGAGTATATAATTATATAATAAAATCTATTCCTAAATGAAAGGAACAAGCTATAGGACCATATATACACAGCGTGATATTTCACATACTTGCAAAGAAAGATAGCTCTGATGAATAAAGTATTAAGAGTGCTTGTCTCTACATAGTAGAAGTATGGGTGACAGTCTCCTTTTTTTTATACATTTCTGTAGTTGCTATGTGTTCTGCAAGGAGCAGGTACTTTTATGATCAGATCACCCTGTATCTTTTTTTCAAACAAATCATAAAGTGACCTTTACATCTGTCCTGGCCTGGCTCCTCTCCAAGCCATGGGGCCAAGCCTTTATGTCTCTGATCAGGTCCCCCTTGTCCCCTCAGGGCAAGTTGGAGATGACTTTGGAGATTGTGGCCGAGAGCGAACATGAGGAGCGGCCAGCCGGCCAGGGCAGGGATGAGCCCAACATGAACCCCAAGCTCGAGGACCCAAGGTTGGTGCTCAGCCCCTGACCCCTGATGCCCAAGGGGATGGGGAGGAGTATCCACAGTACAGGAGGCACTCACTGTATAGCCGCACAGAGGTCCCAGGGCCCAGAGAGGGGTGTGACTCATCCAAGGGTACACATTGTTAGGGGGCAGGTGACAGACATCATTCCAGGACACGCTGGGCTCATCGCTAGTTCCAGAAGCAGGCGCTGTTGGGTGGCTGTTGGTTGTAGGCCAGGCGTGCTGTCATATGGCATGTACATGTTGTGTCATGGAACCTTCCCTGCTGAGTCGTTATTAGTATCCCCGCTTTACAGATGAGGAAACAATCACAGCAAAGTTAAATAAGGTCATTCCAAGGAAAGTGGCGAAGGTGAAATTCTCACACCTGGTCTGATTGGCCCCGGAGCCTGACCAAGGTCTTTCTCTGACCAAGCTGCCTTCCATGGCTCTCCTGTGGTGTCAATGTGGCTTTCAAAAGGCCTTTCAGCTTTAATTTTCCCATCTGTGAAATGGGGGCCTAGTCCCTGCCTCCCCTACCTCACAGGCCTCTAAGGGAGGGGCCTACATCCCAAACCAGTGGATGCAGAAGCCTTGAAGGCAGTTACCGGAGCCTGAAAGATGGCTGTTCGGGCGCGGGCCGGGGCTGCATTTGCTGGGTCCCTTTCCACCGCCTGCTCAGCTCAAGTCACACTTAGCACAGACAGCCCACTTTGTTATAGCGCTATCCTGAGTGCCCCTGGCTGGCAGAGGAGTGAGAAGCATCCCTGCCCAAGGATGCTGGGATCTGGGTGGAAAGACAGAGAGACCCAGGAGACCCAGCAGCACGCAAGCAGATGTTAAAACGGCCATTACTGAGACGCAAAATCCTGCCCGCTCTTTGAATTGTGAGGCTGACCTAGGGGAAGGATTTGAGGTTCTTGGTTATGAGACACAATCAGCTTTCTGGGTTCACTCCCTGCCAGTGAACGAGCCACGTGCATCTAGGCCAGTGGCTTAGCTTATCTGGGGCTCATGGACCATAGCTCACCTAACGTGGAGCCCCTTGAAGCTCTGCCCAGTCCCCAAATCTCTAGTCTGTGATTAAGTCCTGGGTCAGGAAGGAGAGAGTGGCAGGGAAGGTGACCTGGACAGGGTGGCTGAGAACGGGGTCCCTGAGGGTGTGCAGGGCTTGACAGCACCAAGAAGAGGAGGGCAACATGGGCGGGGCTCACACAGTAGCGAAGGCTGGGAGGAGAGGGCGATGCAGGTGCGGACAGGGGCTGGGGGCCTGGAGGCTGGGCAGGTCTGGGGGGCTGACTCGGGTGGGCCAGGGCAATTTGTGAGCAGGACCCGGAGGGAGCAGCCCTGGTGGGAGGTACCCTGCTGACCTCTGGGATGTCACTCGCAGGCGCCCTGACACCTCCTTCCTCTGGTTCACCTCCCCGTACAAGACTATGAAGTTCATCCTCTGGCGGCGGTTCCGGTGCGCCATCATCCTCTTCGTCCTTCTCTTCATTCTCCTGCTGTTCTTGGGCATCTTCGTCTACTCCTTCCCGGTAAGCTGGCCTGAGTGCGGAGGCACAGACCCTTGTCTTGGAGGAGCTCCTGGTCTGATGTGGGAGGTACAGCCCTTGACCTCCAGCAGCTTCTGGTTCTCAGGGGAGTCTGTCATTGTCCTCAAAGTGCACCCCGTGTCTGATGGAGAGAAGTAGCTTCTGTCTTTGGGGAGTCCATGGTCTGATGAGGGAGACATAGGCCCTGCTCTGGGGAGTCCCCAGTCTGGTAGGAGACCCTTGGGGAGCTCTTAGCCCAGTGAGGGAATCTGAGTTCTTGCCCTTGATGGGGAGACACCGCACCCTCGGCAAGCCCCTGAGGGGCTATGTAATTAAGGGGTTGGCAGAAGGCGAGGCCCCTTGGGCAGGCGTGGGCAGGGGAACCTTCTTGAAGGAGGTGTGGAGTGGGTCAGGAGGGGCAGGGAAGGTGTAGATGGCAGAGCAGAGGGGAAGGTCCTCTGCTTGTGAGGATGGCACCTGCTGAGGACCTGGGGCTGGAGAGGGTGCCACCTGGGAACCTGATAAAGTGTGTCCTGCCTGCTGCAGTGGGGTGGGCGTGGGGCAAGGTGTGGGCGAGGAGGGGGTTGGCAAGGAGCCTCTCACTGGGCGCAGTAAACACTGGGGCCCCTTTCACCTGCTAAGAAGCCAGCCGATGCCTGACGAAGAGTGGCCAGGGCCACCCGCGTGGGGACTGCTGTGCCCAGCTCCAGGGGTCCCTCCCAAGGGAGGAGGTTCTGGAGCTCTCTTCCCTGCCTGTGCTTCCCTGATCCTCACAGCAGCACCCCCAGTGTCTCTAGAACCTCAGAAGGGATCACAGTGTCCCCAGGCTGACACCTGATTTTTAATATTCTTGAAATTTTTGAAACTTTTTAATACAAAAAATTCAAAATCGTATATAAGTAGAGGAATGGTGTGATCGACTCCATGTCACCCTTATTTGAATGGAAAGAAACACACATCCAGAGAGGAGAGGGACCAGCTCAGGACTGCATGGCAGCCCTGCGTACAGCTCCCGGTCTGGGGTTCCGGCCACAGCCCTGGTCAGCACCAGGCCGCCGGCCAAGCACACTGTCCCCACAGTGGGTAGTGTGCTCTGGGAATCACTCACCTGTGAGCTCTTTGCCTCGTGAATCCTCCGGGAGGAGGAGGCGCCCGAGAGCGCTCCCCCACCGTAGCTGGCAAGGCATTGTACTAGCAGAGCACGCCTCCTACGAGGAGGACGGTTAAAACCACGGAACAATCCCCTGAAGGCCCTAAGATCATGAACTGTGGGAGCAGCAGAGAGGATGCTCTGGTTTGGACGTCCAGGCCCCGGCTACCCCTTGGACCCTAAGTGACAAAGGAGGGTCTAGAGCTGGGATGACCGTGAGCTGGGCCGCGAGCCGGGCCCTCGTCTCAGCTGACTGTGTCGCCTGGAGCGCCAGGCTGAGGCTGTCCTGAGGCTCACCGAGACGACTCACGGCCCGTTGGCCAAACGTGCCTGAGGCCCAGGGGCGGGTCCAGGCTGGCGGACCCTGAAGCTCATTTGGTTTGGGGGGCCCTCCTGAAGCAAAGGAAGACAGATTACAAGTACAAGGTTAGCTGCTGGGCCCTGGAAGGGCACGAGCAAGTGTGGTGCCTGGAGTGTAGCTGCCCTGGCAGTGACCTGGGCTCAGGGGTTGGGCCCAGGACTCCCCTTGTGGTCCCCTGTGTCTCCTCCCCTGGGACACAGCCCTGTGGCCAGGCTGGGGAGGCGCAGTGGCCCTCACCTGGCCTGTCCTCAGGCTTACCTCCTCCCATGTTGAGTGCACCCAGCCGCCATTCGGTTCAGGTGAAGACCTTATTAGCGCGCGAAGTGTGTCCGGGAGGTGAGGGCGTGTTGTGTGGGTGAGGGAGAGGCTGGTGGGGCCCGTGCCCCTGGGAGCTGTCGGTCCACGAGGAGATACAGTGAAGCCAGGGACGAGGGGGAGCACAGGGTACAGCCTAACGCCTCACCGAGAGGCCAGGCCGGGGAGTGTGGGCAAAGGGGAGCTGGTGTGGACCCTCGCTCCTTGAGGAGGTGGTCTGAGGAGCAAGCAGCGGCAGCACCAGGGAGCTGGTAAGAAATGCAGAGTCCTGGGCCAGCCCCAGGCCTGCTGAGGAGAATCTGCCTCGGGAACATCAAGGTCTGAGCATCGCTGCTGTGCGGAACACAGCTCCATGTGGAGTCAGGAGCTGTTGGCTGGATTCTGGCTCTGTCAGTGGCTCCCCAGTGACCGTGGCCAGGCCCTCCCGTCGCGTGAGGAAGGGGCTGGGATAGGTCAGTGCTGACCTGCTGTGACTAGCACTGTGGATAGGGGAGCGATTTTGCCTTCCCCAGGGGGGCTGCATGTCAAGCCAGCCTTCTGCTGAAGAGCTGAGGGGAGGGCCCCGCCCCTGCAAGGCACTAGGGCTGCAGACTAGGCCTCAGGGGCCTGGGGAAGGAGGCCCTGCTGCTTGGCTGGGAGATGGACAGAAGATTTCCAGCCACTTCCAGGCTGTGGTCCTTTCTCGTCCCTGGGGCAGCCTTATCCCAAAGCCCTGCGGGCAGGCCCTGGTCAGAGCCTCTTCCTTGTGTCCCCAGCAGCAGCATCAGTCTCCTTTGAGATCTTCGGGATTTGTCCTTTTTCAAATGCCAACCCTGCCTTCTCTCTCCAGAGCTGGCATGTGGGGTTAGATCCTAGGCGAGGGCTGTAGGGCAGCCTGGGTCTGAGACTGCAGACTGCTTTTGCTTGCAGGCCTTTGCTACAAGCTGGGCATATCCTCCTTCCCTCCAGCCAAGTCACCCAGTCACCTGGTGGATGCCAGACCTGTGACCGTCCATCACCTGGCTTTCAGGCCTTGGGGGACAGAGGCCTGGGTGCAGAGGGGCTCCCCCCCAGTTGGCCTCATCTCCCACCCTCTTGGAAATTCCCCTGGGAGGGGGACAGGGAGGGCAGCCCGTCTGATTCCTCCCAGCTCTGCCCTAGAGGCAGCCGGGAGCAGGGCCAGTGTGGGGAGGCAGGAGGCAATCTGGCAGGGAAGGAGCGGCGGCTTTGTTTCCAGAGTTGGCTTTCCTGGGCGGCGCTGGGGAACATACTGTCCCAATTAGGAGCCCTGTGTTGTGTTGTATGTGTTTTCATGGCTTTGGGGGGAGGAGTGGGGAGGGGAGATTCCTGCCAGTCCTGCAGCAGCCAGGGCTTAATCAGGGGTGACCCATCTCTAGGGCTGGCCCGCACTGTGGGTCATCCCTCTATACCCCCCACCCCAACTCTCTCTCTGCGTTTTGGACGGGAGCGTGGTGGCCAGCGAGCCCCAGGTTCCCGCACTGGGCAGTGTGGGAGGAGGGTGGGGAGAAGCGCAGCCGTGCCTTCAGGCCACCTGTCTGATGGAAAAGGCCGGGCCTGGCCTGGCCAGGGGCAGAGTCCTCTCCGTAGCTGGGCAGAACCTGGGGGTGGGCCCTGGAGTGACGGGGGAGAAGCCAGAGCAATTCAGGCGCTGTGGCCCCCAGGCAAGAGTGTGGGCTTGTGTGACAGCGAGAGTGCTGGCAGGGTGGAGTGCTGAGCTGAGTGTGGCCTGGGGGATGATGAGGGAGAGGTGCAGGCAGGTGGTTGAGTGGATCAGCCACCTTTCCCAGCTCAGTTTCCCTGGCAGCTGTCGTCACCTGTCCCTGCCTCTCCGCCCTCCCTCCAGAACTATACTGCCATGAAGCTGGTGAAGCCATTCAGCTGAGGACCCTCGGGCCCAGGACTGGCTGCCTCCTCTGCTCTGCTCAGCTGAGTGTCTCCAGATGTCCAGGCCTCACCGTCCTGCCAGGGTGGGCAGACAGAGAGAGGGACTGGCACGTGCTCCAAGTGTTGGCGACATCGAGCCCTGCGGTCACCCCGCTTTCATCATTTCTTTCTCCCCCAACCCAACCCTTTTGGGGATCAGCCCTGTGTATTTCAGTATAAAACAGTTTGAACCACAAAGCGGCGTTGGTGTGTGTATCTCTGTGGTACCTGAAAAGGGTGACTGTGCAGGGGATGTCTGGGTGGGCGCGTGTGTGGGATGTGTGCCATCTGTGCAACGTTCCCAGTGGGACTGTGCATCCTTCGGCAAGTCTGGTAGGGGTGGCGGGGGCTTTGAGGCTTGATGTCTGGCCTGCCTGGAGACCCAGCCTGTTCTGCTTCCAGGACGTCCCTCCACCCTGTGCCCTCCTTCCTCAGGCATCTCCTCACCCACGGTGATCTTTGCTTGGGTGGGCAGTTACCTGCACTATGCCCGGGAAGAGGTTCCACTTATGCACATGGAGCCCCTCGGAAAAACTCTAAAGGCTGGGAGGGCTGCTGGACCCCTGGCTGTGACCTTGTCTCCCGTGCTCTTGGAATTTCTTGGGGTTCCCTCCCTCTGTTTCCTCACCCTGCTTTAATGATCTGGACTGGATAAACACACGCTTTTCTTGTGGTCTGAGCATCGCATTAGCTGTCGGGCTGACATCTCTTGCAGGAATCAGGCTTCATCTACAAGAGCAGCAAGGACATACTTAGAGAAAAACCAAAGAGCACGAAAACATCGTGTTTCCGAGATAGAGGCCTCTGCCTCTGTTGGCTGGTGGGCTGGAACTCTGGAGCACAGCCTGGCGGGAGGGCTTCTCCCATTTCCTGCTGTGAGCCTGTTCCCGTGGCCCAGGCCCCGAGGCCCCAGAGTGAGCCTTCCAGCCCCCTTGTCCCTTCACTGCATGCTGGGACCCAGACTGAGGCCCTGCCTCGTCCCCACCTGATTGGCAGGACTGGGGGGTGATTGGCACAGGGCTGATGACCTGAACCCTCCTGGGTGAGGGAGCTACATCTTGAACATAGAGTGGTTCTCTCTTCAGGAGAGGTTCTGGCTGGAGGACACCCTCAGTGTCCAACTCCGTGTGGGCCCTGAGAACCTGGGTGGCCAGTCCTGAGACTCTGACGCCTGACACCTGGAGCCGGGTGGCCACACCTCGCACAGAACAGGCAGCAAGGACCGGGGTTACCCAACTCTTCTGGGTCGTGAGCCTTCCCTGAATACCCACCGTGCCCGCCTGCTTGGAGGCCATGAGCAGGCGATTCCACGGAGAGGACTGGAGGTGAAAGGATGGAAGAGCTGGGGCTGCAGCTTTGGGAGGTGCTGAGAGAGCTTTAGAGGCTCGGGAGACCTGAGAATATTTGAAGGTAGGGAGGAGGAAGCCACTGAGGAGGGAAAGATAGATCGAAGACACGAGAGAGAAAATGGGATAATTAATGGAACCAGCTTCTGGAGTAGGAGGGGAGGGCGTAAGCTTTGGAAAGAGAGTTCTCTTTTTCTTACAGGTACAAGAACACTGGAGGAAATAAATACATACTGTGCAAGTATCAGCTGGGTTAAATGAGTTTGGGGGTACATTGTGCCCACTTATTAACTTTTTCCTTTAATCATTTTCTTTCTCTTGCTGCTTTGAGTTGCAGATCATAGGAAACGTTATTTAAACTAGTAAAGGGAATATAATGGCTTTACAGAAATGAAATTTTCAGAGGGATTGGCTTCAGGTGAGGGCTGATTCACCTCCTCAATTAGGTCACCAAGACTTTGCATTCTCTCTCTGCTCTGCCCTTGTCAGGCTAGGGTTGGGGTTAAAACTGCTCCCTGGAACCATGTAGGCCACCAAGCAAAACTCAGGGAGAATGAGGAACGGATGGTGAGGAGATACCCTGTCCAGCACATGTTTATTGAGAGACTCCACATGGCAGCCCTAGAGCAGGTTCTGAGGATACAGCAGTGAGTTACATGTGACTCCTGGCCTTCCATAGCTCCCAGCGTGGGGGGAAAGGTGGATCAGGAAGCCATGCTTATTTGAACGCTTGTGAGAGTATCAGAGAAGGGACACCCTGGGGCAGGGAAGGGATGTCATCTGAGTGGAGCATTGGACTGGCCCAGTGGCTAAGAAGGGAAAGTTGTGCTGAGCAGCTGGGATAGAGACCAGTCTCCGGCTGTCAGAGAGCCTGGCTTCTTCAGGGCAAGGCTGGGTGTTGAACGGCCTGTGTCTGCGGCTGAAGAGTTTGAACTTCATTCTGGAGGTAAGGAAGAAGCACAGGAAAGACTTAGAGCTGGACTGGCCTTGATCAGAGGTGTGGTTTCTTAGTTCTTATCTTGGGAGACAGGAGTCTTCTGGGAGCACGTGGTGGGACTTCAGGTTGTGTACGCCTCATGGATTTCGAGAGGGTGAGGGTCCAGTGATCTCACCCAATTCTGCAGTAGGGTCTATGATCACAAGTGGTGAAGAACAGTTGCTCAGGATGCTGTGTGGCCAGTTGCAGAGGGCCATTCTAGAAGGCTGGTCCATTAGTCCAGGAGCCAACTCTGAAAAGCAGGGCAGGAGTCATTCATTCATTCATTCACTCATTCATTCATTTAAGAAATACATACACACACACACACACGGAGAGACATCTGTGTACCAGACAAGGTACTAGGCTCTAGAGATACAATGCTGAAAAGGATAAACATGGTTCCTGTTCTCCCAGAGCTCACAACTGAGTAGCAGAGGGAGACAAGTAGATAGGTAATTACAACACACTGATGGGCAAGGGTTACAGGGTTAAGGGCAGGGGATGGAAAAGACAGTAGAGAGAGCAAAGACTGACCAGAAATGGTTCAAAGATCTGTAAGAATCTCCACAGGGCACAGGGCCGTGGTTCTCAACCAGGGCTGATTTTTGCCCCGCAGGTCACATTTGACAATGTCTGGAGCCAGTTTTTATGGTCCTGGCTTGGGGTGGAGGGGCTGAGGGTGCTACTGGCATCCAGGAGCTACTAAACATCCCTCAGTGCACAGGACACACCCTCCCACCCCAAATTATCCAGTCTGAAGATCTGATGGTGCTGCTGTTGGAAACTCTGGCATAGAGATCGTGGACTGCAGAGACCTGAGCAGATAGAACTAAGAGGCCTGGGGGATTGACTGGTTAGGGCTGGGGTGGGGCGGTGGGGTGGTGGGATGGGAGATGAATTCCAAATGACTCCCACTTGCCTGGCTTTATGAGTGGTGGGACCATTCATGAAGTCCGTTTTGGACAAGAAAGTTCAGACATCTTTAGGGCGCCATCAAAATACCCTTCCTGTCCTCCATGTCTCCCTACTAATATGGTCTCTCCTCTCTTCACAAAGTTCTAGAAAGCATCATTTACACTTGCTGTCTCCACGCCCTTACCTTGCACTCACTCCTCAACCCACTGTGGTCTGACTTCACCCCTGTGGCTGACTCAGTGGGTTGTCTTCTCCAACAGCCATCCCCTCTCTCTTCCCCTGTGGCACTGTGCCGAGAAAAGAGCCCTGCCCCAGCCCTCGGGGAAGGTGTCTTATGAGATCAAGCCAACCATAGTAAAGCCATTACACTTGACGGTGATTGGTTTAGGAAGAGGCATGTGACTCATTTATGGCCAATGAGATGTGAGGGGAAGGTGGTGATGGTTACGGGTGAGGAGGGTGCTTGAAAAGTTTCTAGGAAGGTTTTATCCCCAATAACAAAGGACACACAAGGAGGCACATCTTCATCTTTTGCCTTTTCTTCTTGTGGAAAAAAGGTAATGTCTGGAGCCATGGCTGCCATCTTGTGATCATGAGGGGACAAGCCTGAGGAAGAAAGTCGATCAGAGGATGGCAAGAACCTGATTCTCCAGGAAGCTATTGAGAAAGAACCAACTCTGGAACTTCCCTACTTCCAGAGGTCTTGTTATGGGGAATCATAAATTCCTTGTTGTTTAAGCCATCTTCGGTTGGGTAGTGTGCTACCCATAGCTCAAAGCATCCTTGGTAGATTTCATTCTAATGTTTTCACCGCAGTCGCCAATAACCAGGGCGCTGTGTACAGGCACCACATCTAAGACATCATGAGTTTATTCTTTATTATAACAGTTTTCCCACAGATGGCAGTAAAGTGTTTTGTTCTAATAAAATCAGTGTGTTACAGTTTTCTGAAAGAAGTAAACTACCTTGAGGAAGGGGCACCTTTCTCTAATTCACACCAGGACCCCACCTACCCTGGCTGCTAAATCTGTGGACGCCGATCCTCCCGACTGCAGCAGCTGGCAGCACTGAACATTCTCTGCTTCTTAATATGCTTTCAGTTTTTGGCTTCCATGGCACCACAGTTGCCCAATATTCCTCTTCTCTGATTGGTCTATAGTGTTCCCCAGGGCCCTTGGCCTGGCCCTCTCTTCTTACTCTGCATCTCCTCAGCAGCCTCACCCACTCCTGTGGCTTTGGTTGTTCTCTAGAGGCTACGGACCCTGGAATCCCTACCTCCAGCCCCATTTTTTCCCCTGTGCTGCAGCCATGCTATCCAACTGCTTACCCAGTGGGCATCTCCCCCCAGGGTGACTTACCAGCTCTCCAAACGCAACGCCCGCCTCCCATCCCCACCCAACATCTCTATCCTCCACCCCATGAGAACAGCTCCTGCCCTGTTGTTCCCTCCATCGACCCAGTCACTGGAGCTGAATGTGTGGGAGGCATCCTTGAGTCTTACCTCCTCCTTAGCCTATATCCAAGACATCAGCGGATCCCACAAATTCTGCCTCTTGAATCTCTCTGGATCGAGCTACTTTTCTTCCCAACGCCATCCCTTCCAATTACGATCAGGCCCCCAAGCAGGCCAGTCATCGGAACGCAGGTAACACTCCGTCAGCCTTCTCCCTCGCCACACCTCAGTTCACTGTCCGCAGGCAGTCAGCCCTGGACCCAGCTGTGGTGCCCTCCTCCCAGATTCCATCCTCACAAGGGAGGTCAGCCATGCTGGCCCTGGGTCCTCAGAGGACAATCCTGCCATCTTTCTTGCCTCACCTGTTGCTTTTCCCTCTGCTCTACTGAGTGGAATGCTGAGCAAGCCTGGCCTTGGCCCGTGGCTCAGGCCTCAGCGTGGCCCCTTCCTCTGGGAGGTTTCCTCTGACCTGTCCTGATGCCCGTCCACCACTGAA